TTACAAGCAATAACATTTCTCCAAAGTTTAACAGTATGAAGAAAACAGTCTTAGTATACTGATGTAACATTGAAACTGAAGATATATATAACATGATGTATTTTGAAATGTACACTCATGCCTACAAAGCCATATACTGTTTATCATATTCTTTGATATGGAATTTCATCAAAAGAAAGAATGATACTTGTAAATAATATTTGAATAAATCTATCTTTGAAGTCATAGTTATTCAAAACAATATACATTGTGAACATCTCTATTGTTGTTTTCTGTTATTGTAATATTATGGTGATTGGCCAAAAGTCAATATTGGAAAATGTTTTTGATTAATTATAAATCTAGCTAAAAATAAGATTATTTTTTATAAATTAATCATAACAGGTAATATCATTCTGATAGATGTTTATAGAAATTTCTTCTGGTCATATGAGTTATTTACTGTTCATGGAAAATAAGTTAAAAAAATTGAAAAGAATTATGGCAAAATGTAAACTTATTATGTCTTTCACCTGTTCACTCAATATATTGGCTGGGTATAATATCACTTTAATTATGTATAATTGGATAGAAAAAACATTATAATTCAAACATATAATGCGGTGCTCCAGATTAACTTAATAACTCCGTTCCGTCTGCTTTGCTTTCCCCTTTCGGTTTTTGTAAATATATGATTTTAAAACAAATAAAGATCACTCAACTATTGTTGTACATGTACTCTCTCTCCTGTACAACAATTTCGAATGTTTCATTATCTTTCACTTTCTTACGAGAGGACATTCATTGACCTACAAAGGGTATGTGCTTTTGTTTATGTTTTGTTTTATTTTGTTATAAATGTACTATAAATTTGTTTGAATATGATTTTATTTCTGTTGCATTTATGATTTTTTAAAACGACCATGAACAATAATTAATCCTTATTTACTTTTATCAAATTATCAATTTTATCTTAAATTATATTGGTCGACGTAACTCGAATGTTATTTATGCAAATCCTTCACACACTCACATTGTATAGGAACGTAAAATGGCTGAAGAAGCAGACAAAAACGGTGTTGATGCTGACTTAAAAAACAAGCCTCTTGTTTTTTAATAGAATTAATCAAATTCATACACATGTTGTCGTATCTATTTCATACAGGACTGTAAAATGGCTGAAGGAGGTGGAACACAGTTATTGAAAGATGGTTCTGATGCTGACTTTGATCTCACATGCACACCTTGTGGAGAAGACAATATAAGAAAAGAGTCTATCAAATATTGTCTTGAATGCCAAGATTATCTTTTAATCAACTGTACTAAGCATCATGGTCCAATAAAAGCGACAAGAAGGCATGTGCTTGTTGATGAGAATGCTGCCATACAATGCTTAGTTGTTGCCAAGACCAAATGCCATTACCACCCAGTTCGTGACACTGAAATGTACTGCAAAACACATGATATGGTTTATTGTACCTTGTGCATTGCTACAGAACATAGGTATGGTTTCATATTAGACAAATCATAGTAGTCACTTATGTCACTGTCTCATCTATTGGTTTGAACTATAAATGAACGTATTAGTTTGTTACTTCAACATGTGGTTTGACAGGGGTTTTTTTATTGTACTCTTATTTTTTAATGCTGCATTCCTTGAACTAAACAGATAATCAGTGTATAGATTTACTTTCAAACTGTCAACATGTTTTTCACATGATCATTATAGTCTGATTTTTTACCTGTCAATTATAAATACACTATAGCACTCATTTGAATAGTCGATCCCACTTCCGTTTTGTCCTTGTAGTTTACAAGAATTAATATGGAGAATATAACTAAGGTTTTGAAATGTCAAAATTATATACATGTAGATTAATTAATATATGGATCATTGGCACATCCGCATTAGCACAATCGGTCAGACGATTACCCAATATTTAAAAGGTCTGATGTTCTATCCTTAAAAATTACTATTGTCTCGATTTTTATTTTGTATATGGCACTGAAATGATTTTTTTCTTTCTATCCGAACGGAATTTAAATGTCAATTATTTTATCATTGTATTTTAAAAAGAGTATAGACTTTACCAAACTAAGTGCAAAACATATCAAAACGAACAACATATTAACACTTATAGCTTTGATAATGTTGCAAATGTAAATAAGAAAAAAAATATGGATTAAGCGGTTTCATCTTACAATTTGTATTACATTTAGAAATTATAAAGCCGTAGTTTACCATATTGTGCTATAACACTTAGTTTAACGATTATCCAGACACAAATAAAACTTAATCAGATTTTACTGCGTGCATCTCAAGGAATCTATCGAAGGTTAATACATGTTGTGTGCATTGACCGTATAATAAGTATGTAATACGCAAGTTAATAAAATCAAACAATACATAATATTAATTAATATTAATAAACATTTGTACTGCATTCTTCTTTAGAGCTTGCGAAGAAAAAAACCAAAATAGAGGTTATATCTAAGCAAAGTGTAAATCAGACAGATATTCAACGACTGACAACGAAATGAATGTGGCAGGATTGAAAAGCAGAAATAGGTCGTACAGGAAATTATTTATGCTACTGAAGTAAATTTGATTGAACGTATTAGAAAATTTAAAAAGGCTATAACTTAATCTGTAGATATGAAGTTTTATAAATCTTTAGACAATGTTTGATTCGAATATTGCACTGTCGTCAAGAAAAATTTGGAAATTGAAAACGAAGAACTTCTGCAATCATTTTCCAGACTTAATGCAGAGCAACTGTCCGTTAACATGAAATTGATTAGTAAAATTATAACAGAGGCCTATAGAAGTGTTGAAAAAGATGAAACAAAATTTTTTTTTTCAGGGGTGATGAAAAGTAAGAAAGTTATGCATTTGAAACGGACTCATTTGATACAGTAAATATCGAAGTTAGAACACAAAAGACACGTTTACCTAACAACTACAAAATGAAGGCAAAGATAGAAGTGAATGTGAGTATTTCTAATGATGCGTCCTCATGTTTGATAATTAAAATTTGCCAACTGCCCGATGGGCAAATTATTTTGGCTGATGGTAGTAACAACTGGATGAAAACTAAAATATCACTTCTTGTAAATAAATACATTTTCTATGAATAGAGACAATTTCATATTATCATGTAGCTTCTGTCTGGTAGAAGAAATAACTTTGTCCTTTCTTTAAATTAAGTAAGTTATACAGATTTTTTACAGGATATTTCTCCCTAGCGGCTCAGGTAATATCTACAAACAATCGTTTATACAGGGCCATATAACCTGTCAAATATTATTATAACTAATAATAGACACGGCTGCTGTCAAATTATCAAGAAATCTAAAAAAGGAAATTAACAGTATTATAAATTCGTTATAAATATTCCTGACAGGTGATATGGCCGAATTTAAACGGTTATTTGTAATATATTTACAAACAACCGTTTATATAGGGCCATATAACATATCAACAATCTTTATAACTAATAATGTGCATGGCTGCGATTACTTTATGAAGAAATCTCACCTTTTCTTTAAAAATATGCTTGTTGTATTATAAATTCGTTATAATATTCGTTATTTCGACCTTATATAACGGTTGTTTACATTATAAAATAGACAAAAACAGAATCCCTAATGAACACTCTGAATGCAGAATTGAAAACACTCCCCTAGCCACCATAAGAATTGCACGAGGTTAATAACAAAAGACACATTAGCTCTGACACATTAAATGATAAATTACAATTATTCATGGGATGTAAATAAAAATCAGATAATCTCGTAAAAAGGGTGTATTGTTTCTGCTTAGTTTTAATTATTTTATATCAATAATATATTTAAGAGATACTCATGATCGTCTCTGCATTATGCTGAATTACACGTTGATATTTTTTTCATTGGTTTTGAAGGCATTCATTTAACCTCAATATTTCCGGAGATAGTTATCAATAAAGTGTACTTTTGATGTGTTAAAAACTAAAAGAAAAGATAAGAAATACATTAAGAATGTCTAGCTAATCGTATATATAGGTCGGACATCTCTCACTTAATGAACTGGGAGAGTTTTTACGGCCTCCACATAGCAGAAACAATATTGGTGTGACAACAGTAATCCAACAGGTAGCGACCAAGCATGACAAGATTAAAATATTAAACGCTTTTTAAAAGCTTCGTTTGATTGAACCTGCTGAACCAGGTCCCTATTTTAGGGTTATATGCAGAATTAGATATTTGATATGATAAAAAACTTATACAGCTTTGTAAATATAGAAAGGATCACAGAAATCTTTTGACACTAATGTGTTCTTCCCACTTGAAAGCACCAAATAAAATTTATAAAACGATGCGCGAGTCTTAAACAACATAATCATTGGCAGTACAAAACAGAGATTCGAGAGTGGATCACAAGTTATGAACCTTGCGTATCACATACACCTTTCATAAGTGACGACATGATTTTAATTAAAGACATTTCCAATATCCGGTTAAACAATCATTTCATGATATAGATTATATAAAAATTGTCCTCTCCCATTTAAACATGAAGTAAATATGCCTCAAACAAATCATGATCGTAGATGTGTAGAATAAATTCTTGACGGTGTTTTATGAAAGGTAACCAAAATATTCATTCAAATATAGTTTTTACTAGAATTATAACGTTATTATAGTCAGATAGGGTTGACGGTTATATGAGTATGTTATCAATATTAATGAGTCAATAATAATGAAAAATAAATATGACTGATTATATTATTATCAAAAATGTTGTTTCTTTATATTTTTTTTATATTTCTTTTTTAGATTTAGTAGCTTGAACATTATTTAAGATACAAATCATCATATCAAAAAAAGAAGATATGATAATTTTACATTAAAATATGGTTACCAGTTTGTAGGTATACTTAAATGCTATCTTTATTTGTAACGATACACTTTAAACCAAATTTTGCAAAAATCATACATGTATTACTTTAACAATGAATGCGACCTTAACTTCGCTGTTTACGTGTGATACGGCAAAACTTGATAACCTATATTCAACGTTAACAACGGCCATTAATATCAAACCGAAACAAGAATATAACTTCTTTTAGGACAAGGTAAAGCTTTCATTTCTAGTTCTGATGCTGTTGTTTTCAACGTTTGTGTTAGAAATAAGGTAAAGCTATACACAATGTATTAATTCTATTAAAGCTGTGTCATGTACTGAATTAACGATTATTATGTTTTTAACGGTTGAAAGGTATTTTTACATAATATCTAAAGAAATAAAAAATAACCGAATTAATTAACTAGGCAAGTAAAAAGGACTGAAATGTCCACTTTATAAATCTGTTTCTGGCTTAAATGTTTCTTTATCGATCACAGCTATCTTGTATTTAAAATGAGGTCATGGATACATCTTACGTGTATTTTGTCTTGTTTCGGTTTCAAGTGCAGAAAACAACGATATACATATCTATTTCGCTGATGTAAATTTCAATGGAACATTTGAGGGTTTGAAGCGTAATAGCAACATACTGATTTGGCTTCAATTTGTCTTTTATACTTATAATATGTATGCATGCAGTTTTAAAAAAAGTGTGTCCGATATATCTGCGTCAAAACTGTACTGAACTTATCTGTGTCGTAGTGGGCCATATGAAGAATAATGTGCAATAGTAAAGCTTGTTTAAACCATTGACTTTCATTTATCACTACAGAGTGTGAATTTTAGAAAAATATAGTTTCACATCTCATTGCCTAATGATAACAGAAATACAGTGTAGTTTGATTTAAGAATGAAATGTGTTATTCACAATGAATTCTTGTTTTATAAGTTGGCGAACTGACTTGCACATATTATGTGTTTGTGGTTACGTTAACATGAAATTATGCCATTCGTTATTTTGATCAGAGATGAAAGTTGATTAGTCGCTGTTTGCAAAGTTTCGACTGGTTGGCCGGGAAAAAACGTTATAAATCTGTAAATGAAGGCGTATATAAAGGAGATACATACCATGCAATGTTTAAATAAATTCTATAATACTATCTTCTCTTTTGTTATATGTCTAATATTAAAAGTATATAGAATATGCATAGGTCATGATAGGCAATTAATAAGCCTTTTTTACATTACTTAAAAGTGTTATTTTAAAATCAGAAGTAATTATCTCTTATCCTTTTTTTCTTTTTATCATCTGTACAAATTGTTTTTGAAAACATCAATAACATCTTAAGATGGTCATTTTGCCAACTTCTATATGATATGTGGTCCGATGCGTTACACAAATATATGTTTTTGCCAGTAATGAATCGCCTCGCCTCTTTCTTATATTCAGATGTAATTTACTGCCCTTCATGTAAACAAACAAGACAAACGTTTTCCATTGATCTTATTCATTGAAATGTTTATTTCAGTGACTTTGTAATTCAAAAATAAATGAGCTCCACTGAGATCAAAAGCGTAAAAAACATAAAATTTGAAATTGTAACATAAATTAAATGAAACACTTAAAGCAGCATGCCTCCAGATGAGCAAAAATATTACAATAAAGTCACACTTGAGAAAATGTAGGATGATTTTAGGAAAAGTGGAAAGAAACAAGATTCAAGTAATAATTTACATGCTATAAGAAATTAATGGTTATTTTTTCATTATGTATAACTATATTTCTACTCCGTTACTAACGCATTAAGGACAATTTTTGCACATTTTGACCTCTTTTTGCAATAATGGTGGCTATAAGTGCCATGATAATGTGTTAATTGCTTCCTTTTGGTTACTATACAACATTATACTTTTAAGAACATTTTCAAAATTTTCAAGAAAATAAGCATAAATCTGGAGGCATGCTGCTTTAAAATGAAAAAGAAATTAAAGGAAGATAAAGAAATGGGCTCACAATTAAATAAGATATCGAATTTTGTGTGATTTTAAGCCGATTTAAGCGATAAGCATGGCAACATGTTTCATTTTTTGGCCATTCAGCATAATTGAATAGTTTATTCTAGAAAAAAACGGGGTGAGAGATGATCTGAAATATTAGTACTGATCCTTAAAAAACGATACACAAATCTCGGGAAAATATTCCAGTCCTTTCATGTCATCACACAAATATAGTTGAGCCCCGTTTTTTTTTTAAAAATGTAAAGATGTGAAAAATTCGCATGCTTTATTTTTAGAAGGTTGGTTTACAAAATGTCAGTTCATAACTTAAGTACATAAAACACGTAATAACCGGCATATTGTTTTCTTGAAGAGTTAATAACATACACAGTCTTATCTATTTCATACAGGACTGTAAAATGGCTGAAGGAGCCGGAACACAGTTATTGAAAGATGGTTCTGATGCTGACTTTGAACTCACATGCACACCTTGTGGAGAAGACAATATAAGAGAAGAGGCTATCAAATATTGTCCTGAATGCCAAGAGTACCTTTGTATCACTTGTAATCAGCATCATGGTCGGCTAAAGGCTACAAAGAGGCATGTGGTTGTTGATAAGGATGCTGCCAAACAATGCTTAGTTGTTGCCAAGGCCAAATGCTATTACCACCCAGATCGTGACATTGAAATGTACTGCAAAACACATGACATGGTTTATTGTGTTATGTGCATTGCTACAGAACATAGGTATAGTTTCATGTTAGACATTTGGTATTATTATAATATTATGCAAATTTAGAAAAAATAAGTAGTAGTTTAAGTTTTTTTGTCAAATTAAATGCCATTACCACTCAGATCGTGACATTGAAATGTACTGCAAAACACATGACATGGTTTATTGTGTTATGTGTATTGCTATAGAACATAGGTATGGTTACATGTTAGACATTTGGTATAATTATATGCAAATTAATTGTTCAATTTGGTACATTATTTGTCATATGAATATATTTATGTACAACAACTTCAATCAGTTTGCCATAATTATGCATTTGTTGCAACTCGCATGTTTTATAGATATTAAGTATATTTAAAATAACCACAAAACTAAATTAATAAATATTTTCTTATTAAAGATTGTGTGAGGGCGTAAACAAAATAGAGGCCGTGTCTAAATCGTGTGTAAATCAGACAGAGATTCAACAATTGTTAGACGAAACAAAGAAGACAAAAGACGTCTTGAGTACCACGGTAATTAAACATAATGATAATCTTACATCCATTGATCAGCAGCGGAAGGTAATCCAAGAAAAACTTGACAGTACTGAAATGAAGTTGATTGAGCAAATCTGTCAAATAAAGATAAAAACAGAAGATTCTTTAAATGAGAAGCATGCCTCCTTGAAGGAAAAACTCAATTTGAGCATCGGCCAGTCTTCTTGCAAAATAAAGGAGTTAAAAGAAAGTGAAGAGCAGCTGCAAACAATTACCAAACTTGATAAAGAACAACAATTTGTTCACATAAAATTGATGAAGAAAGCTGCTACAGACGCCTTCAATTTAGAAGCAAGCATTGGGTCTGATGGTACAATGTCAATTTCTTTCACAGGTGACGAACAGTTGAAAAGTTTAGTCATGGCAGCAAATTCTTTGGGTCAGGTGATATCAAACAATGGTGCCAAGAAAGTTTCTGAACCAAAACACTACAAAATAAAGTCGAAGAGAGAAGTCTATGTGAGAATGGATAACGATGCATCACAATGTAAAATAGCAGATATTTGCCAACTCACTGATGGGCAGATTCTTGTAGCTGATTATCAGAATAAGAAAGTCAAACAACTGGGTGTAAACTACAAAATATCAAACACATGTGACCTTGATGCTTCCCCTACAGGTATATGCTGTATCAGTAAAAACGAAATAGCTGTGAAAATGGCTAACAATAAAATCCAGTTTATCTCAATTGGATCATCAAATATGGCAAGGACAAGAGTTATTTCAATAGAGGGTGGAATTTATTGTGGAATATTATATTTTGACAAGGAAATATGGATTTCTAGAGCAAGTGGCATTGATATATACAATATATCAGGAACACTTACGAAAAAGATAGGTGATAATGAGTCACCAAAGAAGAAATTTAAATCAACCTCTGTTCAACATATGGCTGTTTCGGGTGACACGGTTATTGTGACAGATTACTCTGACGGTGCTGTGTGTTTGAATAAGGATGGTACAGTTTTAAGAGAACTTCGGGATCAAAAGCTGATTAAAACTCGAGGTGTTTGTGTAGCTGATGATGGCACTGTCTTCTTGTGTGGTTATACTTCCAATAATATTGTGATAGTTTAGCCCAAAGATGGAAAGTCTTGGAGAAGTTGATTAGCAGCAGATCCTGATATTGAAGAATGCCTATTAATATGTTATGTTTGACAGTAAACAAACAACAATTATTGCATAACATGTCTTCAGCGATTTGACATATATTTAATATCATAGAACTGGAATAATAGCAAGTGTTCAGATAATCAATTCTCGATCATACTCTATATATGTAAATAAATTCAATATTACTTGCAAAAACATTAACTGGGTATCAAACCATTGAATTATATAAATAAATATTGGCTAACATGGTAAATTGTCAAACTAATATATAGATTATTACATTTATCATTGTATGCGATTCAAAATTGGATGTTTGTATCACTGACTGAAATATTGTATGGGATGCTTTTGTAACTTTCATTCAAAATATTAAGAATATCAAGAATCAAATACAAAATTTGAAGCTACAGCAGTTAGAGTAGAATCCTGTAGAGAAAGAATTAAAGAGAAAAGTTATGATGTAGAATTGTTCTCAATATTTTTTAGCTTACAAGAGTTTTAGTAACACAATGGTATAAGTTATAATTCATGGTTAAATTTTATGAATGTACTACCATTAAAGTAGTGAATTAACAAAGTAGAAATAAATTTCTGTAAAATTTTAGTAGGTTTTAGTCATAGTGATCATTGTAACGGTATTTTGTCAGCATATAATGATGTTATAAAAACAACAAATTTCCAACACACCCCATTCTCACGCCTTTCCCAATCCCCGCTATGCAGCAAGTAAAAACAATGATGGCCTATTTATCTCTCCCCTGGGTAAAACTGTAGCTACTACCAGTATGATCTCTGATGATAATTTTCAGAGAAACTCCATGAGGAACTCCATTTACTCCAGCAACTTCAAATGCCACATAAAAGTGAATGGTCTATTAAAAGTATCAAATATATTTGTAAATATTTTGAATAGAATTGATGAAGACTACTTGTGGAAAAAGGAAACAATAGTTTTCCTAAAAGGAAACAATAGCTTTGCTGTCATTGCCTTTGATCAAACACAATTGTGGCGACTCATTCAAGCAATTCATAATCAATATGGCCAATCGTTAATTAAAAGGGGCCAATTTGACGTGTAAAGTTTTGTAGTCACCAACAAGGTCATACTATACATCAATAGCTATATAGAATGCAATGCGTTGAGTAAACAAATATCACCAGGCGAGGGGTCATTTTGAAATGCATTCAAATTTCAAAACAGAACAAGTATTCCAAGTTAAAAGTGATGAGATTTGACAATCTTTCATACTTTAATCTTAGCAGAAAAAATAAGGCTGGGCAATATACGACCTAATGTAAATTTGTTAATCTTTCAATTAGAGTAGTGACCTAATCAAGACATTTGTCTGAAAAATGTTTTAATCATCCTTATGATATTATATGTTGAAGCGTTTTCTACTTTTCTTCAAAATGGAGCTAAAAATGTTGAAAGGTCTACTTTTTACAATTTTTAAAAAGTACATCTCAATTATTTAAACCAGTTTGTTTATGTTGATAACTAAATTGGCTTCATGTCCAGTATAATTGGATTTACTTGTTAGTGCAAGCTGATTGCCGTAAGGAAAAGCCTTGGCTTATTGTGGCAAGTGGTTCTCATTTTCATCACTAGCCATTTATAGGTCAACAAATGAAACAAAAACACCTTCACTTTCTAATGGTTTTAATAATTTTCTAAAAAATAACATGAAATACAATGAGGAAACAATATAGTCAAGATGAAGTCACTATAAAATGTAAATGTCTGACTGTTTTCATCAAAAATAAAATGCATCTTTTCTCCTCTATAGAAATTAGGAATGTCCGCTAAAAATTTAAAACAAACTATTAATTTGGTTTCAACTATAAACTATAATCTGGGTGTATATATAGTTCAACCGGTATGGGCTAACAAAGTTTCTTGCCCTCAAAACAGAAATTAAAAAGCTTTACAATATCAAATTAAATCTTACATCGTACATGTACCAATCTCCTATGCAGTAATCTCCCCTTATAAGTGCAATCTGCCATGGGAGGTAATCACTATGAGGAGTTTAACATTGTCCTTTATAATCTTATATAGTCTTTTTGTAGTGACAGTTAAAAATTATTTAACACAATTTTACACATTAGCGCAATCAAAGAACTTTATCAAATAAACTTTATTCATTTAAGTAATTATTTTCTTGAAATAAAGAGAGAAAATTTTATATAATTTTACAAAACTTTCACAAAGATAATTGGAAAACCAAGTGAAAAGTCATTTATTTCACACACACAAAAAACAGTTATTTGAAACACAAAACAACTGGTATTTTAAATGCATTGTTGAAAGTACATGATGAATTCCTGATGAAAGATATTTTACATGACTTTTTTTAAAACGTTTACAAGAAATATGTAACCATAAGAAAAATAATATAATTATTTTAAAGAAGCTTAGGAAAAAAAATTAATGGAAAAGGGAGTACTTCTGCTTAAAATAATTCAAATAATGTTTTGAAACAAAACAATTTCAATGTTTTCAAATTGAAGAAAAAACTGTCTACTGTTAATAATTTTATGAAGCTAATGTTTTGCTTCTAACACATTCAAATGTTTTAACTTTATAGATTTGAAAAAAAATGTTGATACATGTTTTGGCACAATAAGGAACCATATATGAAAATTAAATGTCCAAGGCTATCATGTGTTAAAATGGTACATTAAAATCAAATGCATAATTATTGTTGATAGCGGACCAGTTTTGAAAATGGAAATGAAATTCCAATGACATTATGCCCAACCAAGATTATAATATGTTGAGTGAAAAGGTGAAAGATAAGTTTACATTTTGCCACAATGCTTTGCACAAAGGATAGATATATGACTCATGTGGACCATGGAAATTTATGTTAATATCCATTAGAATTTAGCAGTAACATTCAACTTTACAAAAGAGTGATACAGTCTTTTTATAACATTCAACTTATCAAAAGAGTGGTACAGTCTTTTTATATTTTAGGCAGATTAAAATTTTGATCCTAAAGATTTTCTAGGATCAATTGTTGGTCAATCACCATAATAACACTCAATCTCTTTAAATTTTGAATTCTTATATAATCAATTCAGTTTCACTTGACAATAAAAATATGAACATAATGTTACTTTAAGGAGCCAACACTACAACTGTACCATGTGTGTTGACAAGTAAGACTATATATATGCTGGCCTAGCTTTATAATAATAAGTGATTATTTAATATTTGATAAAAAGGTTATTTAAGGGGTTTTAATTTTGGTGGGTTCAATAACAAAATTGTCAATAATAAAAACCAATTCACCAGTACATGTATATAACATATATAAAAGTACTATAACACAGTATATGATAACATAAATAGACAAACAAATTGAGCAATAACAAATGGGTAAACATTTCAACAGTTTCCAACTTTTCGCTGCATAGCCTTTTAACAAAATTATAGTTAAACATTAGTATTCAGCACCCTTTATACGTTATTCATGTTATAAATATTGTTATTCTTTCTCTATGAACAAAAGTTGTTTGTAAAAACAAACATGACAAATGTATCTCCTTTCCAAATTTAATATAGATATTAATTCGCTATTACACTAAAACTGTATTATTCTTACATATCAACAGTTTGGCCAAATAAGATATGAGGATATATATTAAATACTTAGCAAGGGGTTCACCACTATTTCAAACAGCATGGAAGTATGTACCATGCTTGTAAAAGTGCAGACAGATTTTGTAAGTATACATATTTAGCTCACTGATGAAAAAAATAATGTTCATAATGAGTGATATGGTTTATCTCTCACTGATAAATTTCCTGTATGTATCACTCATCATCAAAGAATCTATGTTTGACTGAATTGACAAGAAAATATCCAGACATACCAAAGGTTGTTATCATCATACATTTAGAAGCAGTCAAATAATCCTAAAAATGTTTATCTGATGTCAAACAAGAGCTATCCATATGACAGCAAACTCAACTATTTTCATTGCTTGACAGTAAAAAAAGGGGCTTAACTATGTAACATAATCACAAGGAACAAGTGTGTGAAGTTTTAACATGTTCCCTAGTAGTTTTGGAGGTACCAGCTTGCACAAAACTGCCACCCCCAGGGTGCTTTACAAAAGCTCCCCAATACTTCGAAAAGTTTAATTGAAAATTAAAGATTACAATAAATAAAGCATTATTAGGAGCTAAATGTACGATTTAATCAGAAAGGTTATTGAAAAGGTTTTGATTCATTCTTTCCTATTCTTCACAGTAAAATGACTAGTGTAACATAACTTAATGGTGAAGAGTGGACACTCAAAGCTGCTTGAGTAACACACCTCAAGCAGGGTAGAAACCAATTTTCCATCTATCAGAAGTTAACTATTATTATACAAATAAAATCTGTCATCATTTTACTCCCTTGCACAATTGGTAAGGATTATACAGCATGTACATTTCACTATTGACACAGTGTTAGACTACCATATCTGTTCCTTTATTCCAGCACTGCTACAGTAGTGTAACACTGATGTGACAAATTTCAATGAAGAAGCCATTATATGAATAAAATCAAACACTTAAAGCAAAATTAAACTCCGGAAAATTCATCAATGTTAAAATAATTATAAAATATAAAACTGCATAACATATTTGTATTGTTCTACATAGTATATTCAAAGTTACAATTTGTACATGTATATAAAAAAGAAAAGGTCACTTTACAAGAATAATACACTATAAAATATTGGATATCACAGCTCAGAAAATACATTACAGATCATAGACAGCAAAATAAATACATGTATATGAAATATGAAAGAAAAATATTAACTACAAAATATGAAAAATAAACATATATACACACTTTAAGGCAATTCTTACATCAAAACAAGCCTATTTAATGGTCATTGAAATACACATTATGCAAAATAAAGCATTGGCTGAGTAAAATGATTTTAACTTTGGAGAGAAAAAAATGTTTGATTATTCCCTTATAGTCTACATTGTAGTTTAGGAACAGTTGTACAGAAACAGATACCAAAGTGCACAGACGCATATCCCCTTGTTTATTATAACTACTGAAAGTCGGGGAAAAACCAACTGTACATTACTCATTAAAGAGACTATAGAATCACTTAATGCATTTCTATTTCTGCATAATTATCTTGAAATAATTTAGTCTTAACATACAATATGAAGCATAAACTTTTACTTGACCTCATGTATTCTAAAGTTAACACTGTTACTTATATTGATGCCTCACGGGAAGACAAACTATTTCCTGACATTCACTGAGATATAAAAATAAAACATCACCTTTTAAGACACTAAAAATATCTTTTCCTGCATTATTGATGTCATCAGTAACAAGAATTTAAATATTTGTTCCATAAGTCATCTGACAACATCTGTTTCTGCTAACAAAGTATTCAAGAAAGAAATATTAAAGCCTAAAGAGTAAAATCTCTAATAATAAAAACAATAATACCAAATTGTAAATATTATGCATGACAGGTCACTGACCTTTTCTTTAATTCATTCTAACATATAGTAATATACATGTGTTCTATAAACTAAGTATTTCCTACCATGTAAATTTCGTACCCTTAAACCTGCCAAATTTCTTAAATGAACTTGTCCAGCTTCAATTTTTGGAACAGTCCATTATCAATTATGGGGATAATAGAATTAAAGTAAGTATGTCAATAGATAAGGCCTGAACAGACTACACAGAAATGCAGACTAGCCTGGCTGAGGCTGGCTCTATTTTGGTAGCAAGGTTTATCAATTTTGGGATCCAGCAAAGTTAGGGGTAAATTAATATTGTACATATGAAACAAAGAACATTTACAAGTCTATCTATATTAGACTTGTTAAAGGTCATGTTCAGAAAGAGAACAAGACTGAATATCTTAAACATATTCAATTGCAGTACAATAAAAAGCAAACACTGCATTAAAAACCCAGATTTTATATCTTAAAGACTGGATAACACTGGCAGAAAAGAACAAATTAAAGGGTAGTAATTTTTGACATTTTGTTATGTTTTTTGACATTTTGTTATGTAAGTCCACAGACACTTCTAACATCAGTTCTACTAAAGCACAATGTTACAAAGAGAAAGAGTATTCTTATACACTTATTGCAACTTAATAAGGAATGAAATACATGAAATATGGTAAAAAAATTCAAACCAAATTACAATCTGAGCTTTAAAATTTGCATATAATTATGACAAAAAATAAATAAGTTTGCATAAATTATCTCGGACAAATAAATTTGGACAAGAAACGATGAAAAATTTGTAATTTAAGGAAAGAGCATAATTTTCAGAAAAAGAAAATCTGACTTTTCTTCCATACTTAAATGGTTATGCGTTTAACAATATTACCTGGTAGATTTGTTATATTTTAATACAAAATAAATGATTTTAAACTGCGTAGTTTGAATAGACCCTAAAGATATCTAATATGACAAAATGTATGAAAGTTATAAAAATCTAATCTAATCTAAGTTACCCAACACACACTTTTTACAGTTCTTTATGGATCAAAATGAAAATATCAATCAAACAACATAATCACATGAAAATACTTTACATATTAACCCCTAGCCTGCTAAATATGTTTAATTCTTTTTAGACGAGCTTGAATTTGATACGGTCTAATCCATTTTTCATCATATTGAAATGCAACTAAAAATGTCCATAGGACATGGATGCCCGACATTCAACTGTTTTGTCAATCTAGGACAGTGTGACAACTGCATAGACTGACAACAGCAAATCTATATCAGTCCCCTTCCCTAAAGTGGGTACATAATCATTGAGTACAGAACTTGGTCAGACTGAATAGATGTGTATGCCGGCCTGGCTCTATAATGGTAAAAAATGCTAATTACTTTCAATTCCTGCATGTTAAAAGTCAAGACAATTAGCAAATAACTAAGAAATAACAAGCTATGATTGTACTGTTGAAGTTTGATTCATTTAACGTTAAAAAAAAATGATGACTGAAATAAATAAAATAATGAAAAAATTGAATCTACTCAGAAAGGTTAATTTTACAAAATTTAATAACCACCTTTATCTCATGTAAGAATATTTAACAGTAGATGTATATACAATAAATCCCTAGCAGATAAATTTAACCCTGTATATCAAGTGAAGTCATGTCAGATTTTATATTATTGTTCAAATATATATATACATATATAGCTGATAAACAACAATATGCCTTAAATATCTGATAGAATATTTTAAATTCTGATTTAAAATACACAAATCTCATCGCAATGTTTTTACCTCTATCTCTGCTCAGCAATTAAATTTCAATATTTTACATTATTCCTGTACTATCTTTTCTTTATTTTTTTATTTATAAAAAGTAAAAACTCCCATTATTCCTGTCAAAGTTTTAATTATAACTTTATAAATCATAAGATATTTCATTAATAACAGTCAAAATTGATTACAAACAAAAACTGCTCACTGTAAACTTTCTGTATTGCCTGAATACTTATAACTTCTAAGATTATGAAAGGTTTCAAATAATTCTGAAACCTGATGTCATTTACTTTACCAACAGGATAAACTTTAATTGTTGTCATCAAATTCTAGTATATGACTAGTTTATAAGTTCATGAAAATATGGTGACCAATAAATATTATATAAACAATAGGGTAATATATAAAATTTTACTAAAATTTTAATCAAGTAGATAATTTCTATTGTGTACCGGTTCTACAATGTAAAAATATAATTTAGCTAGTCATTGTGCAATCAAAAACTTAACATCACTCACTTTTTGAATAACATCATATAATTTTATCTCTGATTATATTTCTTACAAATATATATTTCTAATAAAAAGTAAAAACTCCCATGAGCATTTTAATTAGGATGTAATATCTGTCACAACCAAAGATTTTATAATCTTTACCTTTAAATGTTTCCTTAAGTAAAACATGAAGTGCTTAATTCAATAAACTTTGTCATTTGTTTGTGAAATATTTATTCATTTCCTATGTTTTAAAAGAAACTCTCATAATTGTCTTAAATTATTGGATTTTTTTATGTCCAGGTAAACAAATGAAAGCACAAAAAATTATCATTTAATATCGCAAACAATACTTTCAAAGCACTAACATTTACATAAAGGAAATAAAAATATATAAATAAATGTCTCTATAAAAAAAAGCTCCTAAAATATATGTATATATATAAAGGTGGGTTTTTTAAAGAGCTGTTAAATTATCTACACATTATTGTATGTGGCATTTCGATCAATATCAATCTCCATGTTTTTACAAAAGTCTGGAGTGAAGGGTATACAGTTAAAATACTGACAGCCAGGGCAGTTGTAAAGAGGAAGTACGTAAAATAATATCACAAGAAGAACAAAAATGAAAATTGCGCCGCCGAGGGACAAAATTATTCCTATCAGTTTGCGTCTTCTGTCATATGTTCCGAAAGACACGTATGGAAGCAAAGCAAATGCAAGGAGGAAACCAAACAAGAATCCACTCAGATGAGCCCAGTTGTCGATCCACGGGAGTAAACCAAGCATGAAGAGAAGGACAATCGGCACCGTGACCTTGAGTAAAGATATACCGGGTCGTTCGAGCATCTGCCACGACTGGAGAACTTCTACCAACAGGCAGGCTAAAATACCAAACTGTGATCCAGCTGGTCCAACCTATACACACAAAACAACAACAACTTCTTAAACATTTTTCGTGAAAAGACTTTCAGTAATAAATTATGCAAAATTCAAATTGAAAAACTATTTAAGAACACATTTTAACAAATTATCGTTTTAGATATAATATATATGCTTCAATTATTGAATAATTTTGACCTTTTATATGACAATTAGAAGGTTATATAAAATACAAACATCTCATAGGATTCTTGTATTTTTTATAAAATTCAACTAGTTTCAACCTTACAAGGTCTTCACTTTTGAAAACAATTTATGATGTTCTTTGCAATATGAATGATAAAGATGATATATAAATTACCTCAACATGATAGGGAACAAAGATACAGCTTGCTAGGTTACCAGCTATACCAGCACCCACATATATAATCGCCATTCTTATACTACCAGTCAGCTTCTCTGTGTCACGCATTATCAATATTTGAAATCCCAATGTGATGATAAGATGGAATAACCTACAATATCGATTATACCATTTATAGTATTTGAAACTCAATTCAACTTAATTTGAAAACTTATTTGTAAGATATCATAAAACTTGCAGTCTTATGTTTTTGCTTTTTTGAAGTTTTTTAATAACCATTGTTTTTATACAATAACCATAATAAATAGGTCCAAATTTTCAATAAAGAAATATCCTTAAAATTACATTGGCAATCTAATTTGGTGTGATCCTGAGTCTGATTTGCATTACACACACATGCTTTTTTATCTACAGCGTAATTTAAACAGTTTTAAACACAAAATAATATCATAATCTAAATATTTTCAAGTTAAACAATAAATATAAACAATATTCATGTATATAATACATACCCTCCATGTAAGAAGAGAGATGTCCACAATCTATAGAACTGATCAGGATATCTGTCTTGAGCAAATGGAATCATACCACAGATCTGTTTCATACATGCCACCTGTAATTTAGTCAACAAATAATATATTATCATTCTTAACAATGGTGACTTTAAAATAGTCTGATCTTAATTCAAAGCAGGGCAAAATATTTTTTTTTAATTCCGAGTCCAATGAGTTTAGAAAGGCTAAACATAAAAATAGTATTCTTACATAGATTAACTGGGTCACTTGAAACAGAAAAATATGCAAAAATTAATATCAAATGGTACATAAATCTGAAAAAAATATTTCTAGCCCTTCTTGACAAAAATCATCAGTCGAGTCCATTTAAGAATGAATTCTTATATTTTTTGTACCTGAGAACATAGGTAGGCATCTTCATGGAAATAACCTCTGACAAATTCACAATGTTCCCGTGTAGTTATCATACATTCTCCCTGTATCCCATGACAACATGGACGTCCTGAGATTTTACATGACATGTGACGATCTGAACGATCCCCTTCCTCTGGTGATTTTGTCTCTGTACACAACTATATAATAAATAAACAGTCTATTATATCAACATTTCTTAGAACAATAATCTAGATGGCAATAAAGATAAGCACAGTATATCTTCAAAGTTTCTGGACGGCAACAACAATCTGTCTGAAGAAATAGCTCTAAAACTTTCTTTGAAAAAGTTGTGGAAAGATAATAAGATTTTAAGATACAATTTATGATAAAATGATTATCTTACCGGCCACTTTGTGATGTCATCATCCCATTTAAATGGTTTAACAGACGCTGGGTCTCTACAGTATCTGAAAATCACACAAAGTAATTCCTTGATTATACAACAAAATATAACATTGGACAAAATTCATTGCTTTCAAAGCAACTTATAAGTTGAAATTTTGCAAATCCCAATATCAAAATATTAACAGAAATTTTTCCAATATGATGAAAAACTAAATTTTACCTTACATTATAATCATAAGACTTTTTAAATCCTTTTGAAAGACATTTTTCCATAATATTATACAATAAGTTTAATAGAAAAACATATTGTTTATACAGAAAACAAACATAAACTGTGGTGTAAAAAACAGCCAAATACTGGGATATAACCATTTTATTAGAGTAAAGGCTCAACATTTTATCACCAAAAAAGGCCAGTACAACCTTTGGGCAGAGGGTCACAGCTTTTAAGTCAAAGATCACTCTCTATCTCAAAAAGACAAGCATACAAAGTATGTTATAACATAAAACATTCAAACTGCCTATGATTTCACACTATGTATAATACTGTAAATTCGATCAAGACAGGTTGTAGTATTTACTTACTTTGGATCCTGACCACATACAGAGCCTGATGTCCACTCACCATGACCTTTACTTGTAGAGTTCCATTTATACCACGTGTTTAATGTTTTCTACAGAGAACAAGTATAAATATTTGAAAAACAAAAAAGAATACAAAATAAAATTAAGATTTATTCCCAAAAAATTATGCGAAACAGTTTTTTTTTCCTTCAGATAATTATATATATTGACTTATTTTGTTTGCACAGTCAAGGTAAAATATTAAAAAGTTTAAAAACATATGAATCTGAAGTGGATATACTGCAATTTACTGATAGATGATGGTAAAACTTTTACAATAACAATACATCATTGTTACTATGTTGTTTTTGTTTAAGATCATAGGTCATACGTTCTAGGAAAGGATTATCTAGTGGTGTCTAAGATAAGATTAAGTTCAATGAGATACTAGTGTTGCCTCCTTAGATAACTCGACGTGATATACAACATCAAAATTCTAATCATTGCAGTCACAGTACGAGTTAGTTGTAAAATTTACAAATTGTTACCCAAGATACAGGGAACTTCAAAATTGCATTATATTTGGTTGTTGTTCAAACATTACACTAAGTTTGTAGGGAATGCATGTTGATTGACTCATTTTTTCTGGGGATTACTTATTGTGATGACATGAAAAGAGATAATCAACATGAAAACAATCGGCAATCTGATTATACTTGTGGTCAGATAGCCTTGTGTTTCGATGCTCTTTCTATTACTTTAACACTTGGTCTAAATTAATATGACATAAAAATTTTCTATTCGGTCATAAATATGTAACATTCATCTTAACATGCTTATCATAACTTACAGCACATCTGTCTTTAGTCATTTGAGCACAACCAGACCCATCGTCCCTCACACAACATGCAGAGTACCGCTCCTCTTCCAGGTCCTTGTTTAATCCTTTCTCTATACCCTGATCTCTTCTCATACATGGGGAATACTTTGCACCCAGATGTATCAAATCAGCCTGACAATGATATAGTGAGTATGTGATTATAATAAAATACCAATAATAAAATAAGTTTGGATAAAAATCAACATATATAACAATTCATTATAAGTTATTTCTAAGACAAAGACTAAAGAGTTATTTTTAAACATGATAAAATTTGGAAGAGTGAACTTAAATCATCTGTTTTGTTGGGTTTAGAACCAGTTTTGTCACTATTTCAGTTAATTAATGGCATGCAAGTGCTGAAAAGGGTGTTAATAAATTTTCTATACAGAAAGCAATGTGGGTCTCCACATGTAACTGTTAAACATCATTTTTACAGACAAACACTTGCTACAGCTGTGGAGGATAAATGATGTATTGTTTCTGTCAACAGTATCATCATAAAAAGATATATGCCTTATTCAAATCTCAATAAACTCAATCATCTTGGGTCCCTAAACTTTCACTCTCTCCTTACAAAACTAATCAAGAAAGTATTTCAAGTTAAGATACTGTGTCATATCCTTCCAATAAAGCCTATCCAAATTGAGTTTCAAAAATACATGTACATGTATTACATATAATACAGTTAGAATGGGGTACATTCATTTAGAGATAAAAAATATAAAATCTTAAATCATGCTACATTGTATGTGAACTCAGTATATCAAACACAAAGCTCAAGGTATTCAAATAGTCATAGAAGATATTTTACCTGCCGAGGTCCAATCCATAAATTGTCTGCTTCAACATATCTTGTCAGTTCATATGCCAGGTTAGGTTTTAATATCTTAAAAAGTAGAAAAATTATCAACATCAAATATCAACATAATCATCAACTGCTCAATATAAATTATAGTAGTTTGTTACGACTAGTAAAACTGTTATTGTTTAATAGATTTAACAAAGGGCAACTGAACTGCTTAGCATCAAGTTAAAATAAAAAGTTATACAAAACCTACTTATTACTAAGATAATTTCTAAATAACTTTCAAACTTTGCAAGTATTAGTATATTTATCATTAACATGCTTTAAAAATTGCATTTTCTGAACCTATTCAACATAATTAGGGAATGATGCCCGCAAAATTTGAGTTTCATTATTCTTAGTGCAGTATACAGTTCACTATTCCAAGGTTTGAAAACTAAAATTTTACCTATAAAAAAGACAAGGAAGGCTGAAAATTAGGATAGGAAACAATGAGACTATAAACAAACTTACTGCATCAGAGTACACAGTTTCTGATGATCCTATAGGTGCAATACCATACACTGCCACTGACACTATAAATACCACTATTTGTACAAATGTCACCCAGTATGTGAAAAATGGTCTGAAAACATGTGAATTTATTATAACATTAAACGATCATTCCAACATTTAACTGTTAAACATTCATCATAATATTCATTGTTAAAAAATCAAAAATTAAGTAACATCCAGTGGCTATGATAAAATATTGCGTAATTTTTCATATCAATGCATAATTTGATTGTTATAAAATATATCACTCACAAGTATATTTAACTACATTAACACATTATTTTTTATCAAAAATCAACAGCTTGTCTTGTTAACAAAATTTAACAAATTTTTGCAAGATATTCAGCAGATTTTATAGGATGACCGTGAGAACCTTAAGTCCGAAATATCACCACTTACCTATGATCATCCAACTCATCAATTTGTTTCTTCACATAAGAGTTCATGCGGTCAGGACGATAATTTCTCTGGAATAATCGCCCAACAAATCCCATACCAACATGTCTCTTGTCCCTCTCTGTTACTGAATTAACAATTTCCTGTCTAATTCTTCTCATACCGAAGTCTGGCATATCCAGGCCAGGATCTGGTGTTCCTGGGGCGGGTTTAGGTTGTGCTCCAGCCCGCCATCCTGCCATTGGGACTGCCCTGCTAAAAAGAAGTGGTTTGTTAAAGAAGAAAAGATTTATTATTATTTTCTGAAACTAATATTTATAATTTTTCATCAAAATTGTTGAAAAATGATTATAATCATGTACATCAGATAATGTGTCAAACATTAATAATTATACCGGCAAAATGTAACTGTTTATTTGTATAATGTTATTGAAGGCTAATGCTTCTTTTGTGGACATCATCTTAAAAGCAGGACATCTTTGACAAATGAACTATGCTTTGACATCAAGTCAAGTTAATCACAGGCTTTTTTTTCAATTCGAAATTCAATTTTGTATTAGAGAAACACTTGCTGTGTTTAAACACAGTTGACTTTTTAATTTCAGGAACTGAAGCAAACTTACGATACTTTAAGATTTCTAATCTGTCTGATAGGGTTTTTTTCTGAATTGGGCCCTAAGCCTCTTGATTTTGGAAAAGACCATTGCTAAAATTGCTAATACAGGAAGTTTAAAAGATGGTGTAAGTTCAGATTTAAAAAAAAAAAAAAAAAATTTGAATTGGGAAGAGGACTATTATAGGCCTCTGTTTTATAGAGTGAAAAAAATCACTATCTAACACTGAAAAATGAAATATTATAAGACAATAGTAAGTATTACATTATAAAAACAGACTAAAAATTGACAGTAATGGATACCTTAATGGTGCGGATTCAGCAAAATCAGCACTGGTCTCTTCTCTTATTTTAGCCAACTGTTTCTCTGGGATACCAGCAGTAGGTTCATCATAAAAAACATCATCTACCAGACTTAACTGATCATGCTCCGGTATCTGAAACTAACAAAACTATCAAGTAAACAGACTAGTACAATCACTATGGTCCCATGACATGAATTTTGTGACTGGACAATGAAAACTATTGACACAATTATTCTGAAAAAAAAATTACAATTATTAGTGAGCCAGCCTTCTGTTGGTTTACCAGGTATACTAATGTAAAACAAGATTGCATTTGAGAAAAATGCTATGCCACCGCATTAATACAACACTAAATAGTAGTGTAGGAACAGATTTTCTTTGTTTCTATACAATTTTGAAGATTGTCATAATGCATAGATCCCTGACCTATCTAATTCTTATTATCAGATTAGTGGTTAAATCTGTTGTTAACTCAATAAAAGATCAGAGTAGGAATATATCATAACACTTGAGTCTAGTGAATTTGGTGGTGAAGGTCATATTTCACACAGCCTAAATTTCATGACTACATCAAAGGACAACATAGTAAGACACTTTGTCAAAATCTAGGTCAGCTGAAATCAAAGTTCACTTAACATCTTAATCTGTACACATGGTTCAAATTTCATAGCTGTACATCAAAGGACAAGAAAGTAGGTCACATCATCAAAATCTAGTTCACCTGATATCAAAGTTCAATTTTACAACTAAAACTGTGCACATGGTCAAAATTTCATTGCTGTACATTAAAGGACAAAAAAGTAGGTCACTGTCCCCTTGGGCAAGGCAAAATTTTGGACCAAGGGTTTAATTCAAAACAAATCTTGATACAGGTCCAACAAACAACATTTCAAGTCAAATATCTAAGCTGTAGCTTTCTCCTATTCAGAAAAGATTTGTTTTTTTCTGTTTTTACTATGTGAACATAATGAGAATCACTGCCCCTGGGCAGGGCCAATTTTAACACTAGGGCATAATTAAAACAACTTTAGTAGAGAACCCATAGAATATATTATAGAGCAAACATCAAAGCTCTATGCCTTGTACCTTCAGACAAAAATATTTCTTTTTTTTTTTTTTTACTATATGTACATAGTAAAAATCAATGACTCCTGGGGGTGGGGCCAATTTTGATCCAGGGCTATATAATGTGTACAATTCTTGCTAGAGGTTCACTACATAATGTTTCATGCAAAAATATCTTAACTCTAGCCTTTGTAAATTTAGAGAAGGTGATTTTTTAAGTTTTTACTATATACATATAAGGAAAACCTATGGCCCATGGGGCGGGCTAATTTGACACAAGAGGCAAATTTGAACAACTTTGGTAGAGTACCTATAGATGATATCATTAACAAATATTCAAGCTCTAAGCCTTGTACCTTCAGACAATAAGATTTTTTTATTTTTTTACTATATGTATATATTGAAAAATCAATGACCCCGGGGGCAGGGGCAATTTTTTGACCCCAGGGCTATAATTTGAACAATCTTGCTAGAAGTTCACTTCACAATGTTTCATGCAAAATATCTAACTCTAGCATTTGCTAGAAGAAATATTTTTACTATAAAGTTTTTTCTATATACATATAAGGAAAACCAATGACCCCAGGGCAGGGCCGATTTTGACCCAGGGCTATAATTTGAACAATCTGAGTAGAGGTCTACCAGACAATGCCTTATGCAAAATATCTAAGCTCTAGGCCTTTGGGTCTTTTACAAGAAGGTATTTTAAGTTTTTACTAAATGTACATATAGTGAAAATCAATGACCCCGGGGCGGAGCTGATTTTGACCCAGGGCTATAATTTGACAATCTTGGTAAGGGTCTATCAGACAATGCCTTATGCAAAATATCTAAGCTCTAGGCCTTTTGGTCTTTACAAGAAGTTATTTTAAGTTTTTACTATATGACATATAGTGAAAATCAATGACCCCCGGGGCGGGCCGATTTTGACCCCGGGTTATTATTTGAATAATCTTGGTAGAGTCTACCAGACAATGCCTTATGCAAAATATCTAAGCTCTAGGCCTTTTGGGGTCTTTACAAGAAGTTATTTTAAGTTTTTTACTATATGTACATATAGTGAAAATCAATGACCCGGGGCGGGGCCGATTTTGACCCCAGGGTTATAATTTGAACAATCTTGGTAGAGGTCTACCAGACAATGCCTTATGCAAAATATCTAAGCTCTAGCTTTGGTCTTTACAAGAAGATTTTTTAAATTTATTCTTATAATTCCTTTTGGTTGCCATGGCAACCAGATTTCTGCATGGAAATGAAATTCTTTGAACAACTTTGGAAGCCCTTCACCCAAGGATCAATCCTGCCAAGTTTGGTTGAAATTGGACAAGTGGTTTTTCACAAGAAGATTTTTTAAGTTCACTATATAATCTATATAACACACACACACACACAAACAAACACACAGGTGAATCGCTATATGCCACCGCATCGCAGATGCTGCGGTGGCATAAAAACACACACATGCACTAAGTCAGTTGAATAGCTTCTTTACACAAATAATTAGATTTTAACCAGTAACAGTGAGTAGCCTGTGATCACTTGGTCATGGAGAACGACTAAACAGAAACAATTATTATACATACTGCATAACTGTCACCAAGATCGCTCCTTGCATCACCCATATCTCCTGCCAGACTTGCTGGGGCATAGCTCCTTACACTTTGTTTACCTCGTAACTTCTTCCTTGAACCCTGAATACATCAATACAGCATTAATTCAAGGTAAAACAAGCGAGTTAAATTACAAACATGGTGAGTTAATCCTAGCTGGGTTTTACAGACATACCAACACTGTATAAAGTTTTACAGCAGTCTTTTCAGTTTTACTTTATGCATTACTAAAGGCAAAAATTACCTGACATCATTGGGAAACATTTCTTTTGCATTCCAAAAATAAGCAAAATTTTATGCCTTCAGAATTTTTTTTATTTTACAGCAGATATAATCACACTTTCATATGGTAGGTACTTTGTCAACCACTGTGAGTAAATTTTGACTGATGGGTTTTCGAAATCTAAAGCAGCAAAAAATTGCTCACATTCAAATTGGAAAAGTCCTGAAGAACCGTGAGAATAAAATTGTAATTTTGGTACTTATTCATGATAATGTTACTCTACATACTGCAATTGTCTGCATTCCTTTCCATGTCATTTTGAGCACTGAATCTTTGCGTGTTCTTCTAACTGGAAATCCCCCACGTGTACTGGGTGTGTATGTGCTTGTACTAGATAGTGGAGTTGTGCGTCTGGAATACTGGGCACCTGCACTATATCTGGCTCCAGGTGCTACAAATCAATATTAAAACAAATTTATCAAATTATCAATTATCAAAAAACATATAAATTCTAATTATCTTCTCAGACAAAAAACTGGCATAAATAATTCAATAAGTATATACTTGAGTACAAAACTTCCCATCTTAATTAATGTGCCTTCAATACATTCATAACATGTATTATATAAAATTTACTTGATTCCACCTTAGAAAGGTACATATAATGGACAAAATGCTACCTTTTTTTTCCTTCTATAACAGGTGCCATTAAAGGGCTGCTTCCCCAAGAAATTCTTTAAAATCATGCAGTTTTCCCCAAAATTGAATTTACATGACGTTTTTTCTTCCCCTTTTGCAAATATACTGTGTAACTTTCCAAAAAAAATAAGTGCAGGGCTGCTTCCCCAACCTGTGAAAGTAAGCCCTGGCTACATAATAAATCTGTGGTTATGATGCTGCCTATAAATGTAACTAACATGGTATGATCTGTTTAAGAGTTATTTCATTTCATACTCAAACAGTTTATCCTTGTACAACATATAGTTTTGTGATCTGTTACCTTTAAAACTGTTACTTTTAATAAAAAATTAATAATAATAGTGATGAATTCTTTTATGTGACAGTGTATATCAAACATACCTTTCAATGGATCATGTATATATCTAACAGATGAGTCCACCTCATCAAAGTCAGTGGTTTTCTGAAGGTATCCATCTTTCACCTTACCACGGTAGTAGCGCATATGCCGGTTCTGCCATTTTGACGACTGTTGACAATCTTCATCACCGAGGCCAAAAAAGTCAGCCACACTATGTTTCACTGACCTACATGTACATAATTAATATCATTCTTGAAATGTATTTAAATCAGTTCGAGATAAATGCATGGCAAAGCATTCCATATACTAAAAAGTTTTTATTTTGTAACCATTATGGTAAACCTGATACAAAAAGTCTATAATGGCAAAAGAAAATCATATTTAAAATATTTGAGTGAAAACATGTGTTTTTATCATTACTTAAATAAAAAAAAACAAATATTGAAAATATAAAACATAAATTTTAATTAAATAGGCAACATAAATATTGATTAAATTTTGTTTGACCTTTTCTATTTCAATTCTCAATATATGCATCATTCAAATTTATCACCCTGTGTTTGTATGATATACTGTATTTTTACCCTCATGTGGGTAACAAAATAGACTGACAAAAGAAAATTGTATCTAAAAATAGATTTTCTTTGACATCACAGGTCTGCATTGAAAAGACACTTCTCAGAATATGTTGCATAAGTAAACTATTTCCAAATTTGTCATATTAAACTGAACTTGAAGATAAGCCACAGTATTTTAATGCCACACAATCTATAGGTCAGGAAGCCATGTGCTTTTTTGGTCTTTATAATTAGCAAGAGCCACTTAGGAGTCACTAGGTCAGTCATCAAGGAAAAGGCACGCAGCCCTGGGTCATATTGCTCACTGAAACATTAAGTTCTTGCTCCTATTTCTATAATTCAAAATAATAATTATTATTGTCATTATCATCATGCACTATCAGCCTCCTAGGTTTCTGATATTAGGGATGCATAAATTACTTGATGATTTTTACCTGCCAATTTTGCTCATTCGTGAACGCTGATGCTGGGGCCTTTTCTCATACCTTCCAGTACCCGCAGGGGCACTCACTTGACGGTCCATCCTGGTTCTTTAATTCCTGAAAATACAAACATCTTATTGTAGGTAAGCATAATTTGGTCAATCTTTAGGGTTTTTTTGGACATTAACACATAGGGACTAGAGTCAACACATAATATGTACTTTGCTTGCGAGAAATGATGCATCAAATAAGCTTGCAATAAAAATAATGATACAGTGACAAGGTAGACATGGCTGTCCTCATTATGCAGGCTTAAACGTATTTATGGACTCACAATAAATGATACAAATTTATCCATTATCACTGAAGTTTATCCATTATCAATTCTTACAATGTATCTACTACTCCAGAGTCTAGAAGTTACCAGTTCCATATAATTTTGTCAGTCAAATTTAATCAAACTTCTACACATACGAAAAAATAATCTTTTAAAATTACATTGTAGTATGATAATCAAGTTTCAACAAAAATACTGGTGCTTTTTTTTCTAAAAGTGACATACCACAACATACTGTATCAATCAGGCTTAAGTTTAATACGCTAAATTTTGTACATACATGTATATTTTTAAAGACTTAATATTTTCCAGTGATATCTCTGATTCTAAATGAATGGTAAGTATTCTTTTATATAATTTCATATATTTAAATAATTTACTTTTACAAACTGCATATAAATACCTAGCCAACAGAAAAAATTGACAGTCAAAATTGCAAATTAACCCTTTGATTTATATACTAGAGGAAGTCCAGTGAGTATAATGGTGAACTTAAAGGCAGCACTAAAATATTCAAATACTTCCTTGTTAGATTTTTATCACTAACACAAATCATGAACATTTAAACCCTTATGCTGCTAGAACTATAAGCCATTACCCCAGTGTCAATTCTAGGAGTGTCTATAACCTTAATGGTTATAAAAAAATTTAATCTTAATGGTTATAAAAATTTTTAATCTTAATGGTTATAAAAAATTTAATCTAATAATAAGTGTGTATAATTTTTTTTAATCTTAATGGGTATAAAAATTTTAATCTTAATGGTTATAAAAAATTTTAATCTTAATGGTTATAAAAAAATTTAATCTTAATGGGTATAAAAAAATTTTAATCTTAATGGTTATAAATTTTTTTAATCTTAATGGTTATAAAAATTTTAATCTTAATGGTTATAAAAAATTTTAATCTTAATGGGTATAAAAAATTTTAATCTTAATGGGTATAAAAAAATTTAATCTTAATGGTTATAAAAATTTTTAATCTTAATGGGTATAAATTTTTTTAATCTTAATGGATATAAAAATTTTTAATCTTAATGGTTATAAAAAATTTTAATCTTAATGGGTATAAAAAAATTTAATCTTAATGGGTATAAAAATTTTTAATTGTAATGGGTATAAAATTTCATCTAACGATATATCTTTAGAAAATTTGTAAACACTCAACATATGTCGTTTCAATTACCTTATGGCATGGATGGTTGATACTAGAAAAAAATTGTAACATAGATTTTCTTTAACACACATCAATATATTGTATGTTAACAGTATAAAATGTTCCAATAAGGTATTTACCATTTATTAATTACTTTTTTATGTGTCAATTGCTCTTAAGGAAACTTTAAATACATATAGTTTTTTCAAACAGGTATTTTGGACTTATTCTTTTTCATACTTCAAATACAAAATGTATACTACAGACAATGTATACATTTACCCCCCACAATTTAAACTTACACTGTCACAAAAGCAGAATAATTTTATATCAAAGCATACATTAGCATTTCAGCATAAACACAAGCTTTGACCTTTTACTAAGCATGACAATTATCGCATATACAAATACAATACCAAACATAACAGTAAACATTGGTCATATTATTATGCTCAATACAAAGTTTAAATGCATGAAATCATCGTAACAAATACATAATTATGTATGTATTGTTATACCCAAGAAACAAACATTTTTTGTCTAAGTACATATGCATTCTTTTATAATAGGTAAATGTACCTTGTACCATGAATGAATAAGATAAGAAAACAAATCTTACAGTTGTCAGTAATCACTTTGAAATAATTCTGCGAATTTCACTTAAGTTTCCAAAAAGCAAGAAATAATGATAATTGCCATTGTACCTTGCCTGAACGATGCTTAGATTTTATTTGAGCCTGGCTTACTATTAATAGAAAGAAACATTCTACAAGGGCCAATACAGCTTTTGCCACTTCCTGAACTAAACAAACGGATTTGAACATCATACAGAATAAATGTAACACTGAATGGAGTAAAAGCCAACATATTTACTGCACTTCAGAATTGGATAATCAACTGTGTACAATTTTTTGTAAAAAGCAAACATTTTTTTTTTGAGCCTGGCTTACTATCTATGGAAGAAACATCTTTCAACGGCCCATACAGCTTTTTCCACTTTCAACTAAACAAACGGTTTTGAACATCATACAGAATAAATACAACACTGAATCGAATGGTGTAAAAATCAAACATATTTCCTTCACATCAAGATTGGATAATCATTGCTGTGTGCAAATTTTTTTTTTAAAAATCTGGACCTGTAATGTACTTAAAAAAAAAAATTAGTTTACAAATATCATTAAGTAGAGAAAAGTTCAATGTGTACAATCATGTACATTGTATTTGTATACTTTTTTCTTCCCATTTAAAATTTTTTCAAATTTATATATTGTGTAATTTTTCCCCAAAATAAAGGGCAGAGCTGCTTTCCTAACCTGTGAAAAAAAGCCATGCTTGAAATTTAACCTTTCACTGACATCAACTGCCATCCTGGATAATTTGGTCATACAGGCTGATAATATTTTTTACTTTGTTAGTTTTTCTTTTTCCAAACAACTCTTTACTCAAATACTCACACCCACAAAAGTTTAATATTTATTGCAATTTATGCATCAAACACATTTCACCATAGAGAACTTCAAACCCTTTTAGTTTCCTACCTTTTCAACCAATTTATATCTAACAACTGAAAACATTTACCTCTTTAAAAATTGTATACATGTATTTCGTGGTGGAGGGATGTCTATGTCTACATCTATAAGGATTTTGACATAACAGAAAGAAGCAGACTGGAAAGACCATTTATTAAGGAGGGGGCTGGCCAGTACTGCTATTCTTCTAAACAAGATACATGTAGAACTTTATGTACAACTAACCAATATAAACTGCATTAGTTAGCAGTATGGCATATTTAAATTAAATAACAAAAGACAATCAATGAGTAATGCAAACTTGTATTTCCAGAAGATTTTAAAACATCGAATGAAAATTTAATTTATATCAAAAAGAGATCTAGCAATTTATATTGCGGTTGCTGATCAGCACATTTTTATTTTTGTTATATATTGTATACTGTAGGGATTAATCATTATACTTGTTTGACATGACCCATGTTGTTACAGCTTAATTGGTCAGGTGACTGGATGTTCTTGAGTGATAATTAAGATTACCCAAGATAATCTTGCTGATCTTGAGTGATAATTAAGACTACCCAAGATAATCTTATCAGTTAAAGAAAAGACTTAGAAATGTTTTGAAACATATTTTTGAGTATAATAATTTTGTAATTACCAATATTAAAATATGATACTTTCGTTCTATAAAATGCCAAATATGCACAAATGTATGATATTTTTATTAAATTGAATTTTCTTTATTAATAGTTAATTCTGAGACTTATATTCAAATTGTAAAAACTTAAAAACTTAACCTCAGGGACGCCGACACCAATGCCAACAAATTGGTGACTGCATTAGCTCGAGTATTCTGCGAATAGTTGAGCTAAAAACTGTCCCAAGATAGTTAAATAAGCTTTTTTGAAAATTTGATGACAAAAATATATTTATATATTATAAAATAATATGCATGTATATTTATAGCTGATAATTCTATCACAATTCAAATTTAAACTATCTCCATTGACCTTTTCGAAAACCAAGCTTAACACTGTTTTTCGGTATGTTATGGATTTAGCTTGTTGGAATTACACAAAATGAAATACATAATACTCTTACATGATATTTCTAATTTTTTATCATTATCTAACCTTTTCATGTGAAAAAACTTGATGTGTTTGAAATTTATCAATGTTCTTTCAATATCTATTGCAAACTTTTCAAAAATATAAATTGTTTATAGGAAGTGGCTAGCAGTAAGGCTACAGTAAAGAAAGTACGAATATCGATCTTTGTCATCTCAAACGTCGAGAAAAAAGAGCATTTGGTTGCACTTATTAAATAACATCAATTGAAATAGTTTACAAAAAATTTGATAATAATCCTTTTTTGTTTCATTAAGTTTAATTTTTCGACACCTTAAAAATGAAAAAAAAAAAAAAAAAACCACCGAAAATAATTGTTGTTTGGCTCTGATAATTGCGTCAATTACCGACGGTACATAAGTTTGTCCATCATTAAGGAAAAGTTTGCATGTTCCATGAAACATATTCTAAAATTCTATTGTCAATCCCTGGGTTGGCTTTAATTAAGGCTAATTAATTGATTGTGCTTTTATGTTCGATATTTATCTACTGTATTTGGAAATTATACAATTATTTTAGCTTTTCACCGTTTTTTTCTTCAATTTTCTTTTTATTTATTTATTTATTCCACTCTGATCATTATTAATTCGATCCATGTGCTAAATTAACAAAAATGATTTAATAATTCATCTGTCATACAAATAAATCAACAAATCATAAGCATGAAAATCAAAGACGTTACCCTATAACATGCAACTTTGACACTTTCATCAAGATAGATTATACATCGCTTGTTCATATGAATTCATTTTTTTTTTACAAAATGGCAGAGCATCTTTATTAAAGTGAACACACGAGGACAAATGCGGAGACTTGATTAAAATCCTCGTTTAAAGACACAAAATAACATATGCATTTTCGACTTCCATATAATTTTGAAAAGACAATACAGTGCGTCCTGGCTAATCGTACGTGCCTCACGTACGGCTAGCACTTTTGGCTAGCCGTACCGACCCGTACGGCTAGCCACTTCCTTGTTTATAACATAAAATAAATGTAATGTGTTTGAAAGTATGAGTTATATTAGATTCTATTTATCATTAATATTATAACTCATATTTGTATTTATTTTAAATCTTTTTCAAATTTAAAAAATGTGCTGAAATGACCAGGGTTTTGATGGTGAAATGTCCATGGCTAAAACGTCCAGGAGGTGAAACGTCCAAATACCTTATGTTTTGGGTAGTTAGGGGCTGAAATTACTCAAAGATCTTGATTATAATGTATAACATTGAACTTGTTAAAGAGTCAAAATGGTATTTACCACCAAATTTATATGTCAATTCTAAGACTGCAGATACAGTAGTAAAATCAAAAGTGTGTTTTCCAAAACACAAGGTGGAAAACCACAGTGACAAACAGTTGATATGTTATCAACATGGTGAGATCAGCATTAATTTCTAAACATAGAAACAAACAACAGTAAAAATTAGTCAGCGATTAGATAAACTTATACAGTAAGATTATGAAAAGAGCCCATGAAACATCAACATGATCATTATACAGGAAAAAACAGCAAGTTTACCTCTCCAAAATAGAGTTGCTAGAAACACAGGAACTAAATTTGGCGCATGCGTACATAAAGGTCACGACACTTAATTAGCAAAAAGAAGTAACTGTGACACAAAGAAATGTGGAGAAAGGATTAAATATTTTTGCGCATTGCTTTGCTTTTTTAATGCATTAATGAGGTCGTCTTTTACCTTTTTTCATTGACATAAAGTTGCAAGATGTCATCTACTAACATTGTAAGTTGGATTTAACAGGACCTCTTTTCTCGGAAATCTAGAGGAAACTGTTAAACAAGGCTTACAGTAACCGAGTCTGCAATTCTCTTGTTATTTTGTTGTGATTAATACTTCCGAGGGATCACTTTGTTTCCAGATTTTTATACTTCACAACAGCAGGTGTCAAGTGCCGTGTGGCAGCTGTAAAAAGTTGCCCCGTACTTCACTTCAGTGTTGTCATATTTTTCTGGTTCCTCGGAATCATTGATGTCAGCACTATTGAGTGTTGAGAATTGAGTACCGCTCAAGCTGGTGATTAATGCTTCCGAGGTATCACTTTGTTTACAGATTTTTATTTTGGTTAAAAATTAAAAAAGAGGTCTGATCAACTTGGTTGAGACATATATTCAATTCGAAATATGTCTACATTGAACACTTCACTTGATTTTGAAAGTGTGAAACAATGTATGGGTGGCGACTAGTTCCTATTGTATAAAGTATTTAACAAAGCAAATACATGTAATTACCGACAATCTCAAATTGCCATGAAATTCCGGTCTATAACCTGGGATTAGCAGACAGACAGACATATATTTTATTTAGATTTGTACAAAGTACATCATCTACATACATGTATAATCCATAAATATCGTTCAGTGTAAGTGATATTTGAACGTATGAGCAAAGCATGTTTAACATAAATTTAGTGAAATATTAATTAGTTCTTGTTTATCTACTGTTGTTAATAGTTGCACATATTTATAATTAAACTGGTGGTTTTACATGGTATTTCTTATCAATGTATTGTTTCATATTATTTGAATAACAAGGACATATACAAATAAAATGGTATTCGTCTTCAAGGTAGTCGAGAAAAATATATTCTTAAACTTAAAGATTTTGGTAGGCATCAAGGTACAATTCATTACAAAATTCAGGTTTAAAAAACTTATACAAATCCATTTCAATTCTTTTGTTAACAGTGTCATACCACTCACGTTTATACATTTCGACAACTTTCGTTTTGAAAACTAAGGGAAAAGAATTTGTGTTAAGCACATGAACATTATCGATCAAAACTGTTGACAAAGTGGTATTCAACTAACAAATTCTTTACATTAAATAACCAGTTATGACATCCATCGTTACAATCTTTAATATCTTGATCGTGTACATGTTTTAATAAAATGTTATCACTAATTGATTGTACTTTCAACCAATATTTTATAATCCGCACATATCTATTTATATACAAAGGATAACGGTCAAGCTCGTCCTACACAAAATCATTACATGTCGTTTGATTAACATTTAACAATCGTTTCAAAATTGTTAAATTTACTAATAATTTCTCTATTTCTTTAGACTTTGTGTATCCCCATACATCAGCCCCATAGCTAAATATGGCGCCAACAAATGAATCAGATAACTGACAAAATATCTATGGTTTTAAATCAAAATCCTTACACTTATTCAATAAAACATTCAGTGCTTTTAAAGCTTTACTAACTAAATATTCCAGGTTTAGGTTAAAACTACCCGTATAATGAAACTCCGCACCTAAATAATTAGTCATTAACTACTTCCATAATCTGGCCGTTATAGTTCCAACGAACTAGAAATGCATAAATAAAATCTAAAACGGCAAGATTGAAAATTTGATTGAGCCTGTTTATGGACGGTAGTGGAAACGGCAAGCTACTGTCCACGACCCCTAACTAAAATTCAAACAGAATTCAATATTTAAAAATGGTAATGGTGAAATTTAGAATTTAGAAACAAACGCAGATGTGTTCATGCGACGGATATCACGGAAGCTTCATTGAGACACGTACGTTAGTCCCCAAATAAAAGAATGCGTGTGCCCCGAACGAGAAAACAATAGGTGAAACTGAATAAAATGGAATTTTAAAGAAGACCAGCTGTTATGAGGCCTGCATAGCACAGATAAACAGTCAAATGACTATCTTAAAGGCAGCCCATATATCGTAACTAAGGGTGTCTATTCAGTAGTTGAATAAGAAAATCGACCGCCTCCGTGGTCGAGGGATTAGAGTTGATGACTTCTAATCCAGTTACCTCTCTGGCGTGGGTTCGATTCCCGGGAGATGCTTTGGTAGTTTAGCACGGAGGAAGGTAGTCTAGTACTGGTGTTATAACTCTCCAGGAACGATGGTTAGGAAACTACCCGCCTATATGACTGAAATACTGTTGGGAAAATGCGTAAAATGAAACAAACAAACAAAATAAGAAAATCAAAGCACAGAAGGCACTGAACTTGTTTTGGTCTCAGAATGTCAGAAATGTAAAGGTTTTGAGATTATAAACCATTTTGTTTTTGTATAGTGCCACCAATGCTGTTTCCAGTGTTATAACTGTAGTAAATTGCAACATTGATATTCAATGTTTATTTGGCTTAAACAATTAAATAAAAGTTGCCTTAACAGGGATTTGAACTCCAGACCTCTCGCTTATGAACCGAGCGTGTAACCCCTCGACCACGGTGAAGTTTAAAGATAACAGCCTGAAGAAAACTACATTATCCTAAATTAGGGTTTGTAACCCTTATTAATTTCACGGTTAACCTGTTGTTTAACACTCATGTAAATAATCATGGAGCTTAATATAAGCATGTTTATCAGTAAAGAATAACACAATATTAGAAATCTTCGACCAATCGGGAACTATTTTTTCTTCACCGAGAATCAATGCGCCTGCCATTTGACAATCTTTACGCAGTGGGTTCCCCTTTATTTTTCGGCGTTAGTGTACTTATAAAGGGAAGTAATCGCTTCGAGGAGTTTTGACTACTTTCGGTACATGTATTTGCAAATAAGCACATCAGGGTCTGAAGTTTCGCTACCATTATTTGTTTGGTCTGACGACCCAACCCAAACATTATAAAAACTGGAAATAGAAAAAGGCAAATAGAAAGAACTAATATTATACAAAACAATAAATAATGTCGTGTTGGACGATATTCAAGGATCGGAAATACATGCATATAACATCTATGTCTGCATGGAATTTGTAAGTGTAACATTTGGAGAAAAGCGTTTAGGTATTTGTTTTTTGAGACTTTCAAATAGAAGGATCATGTTTGAGGTAAATAAAACAACAAAACAACAATGAATGAATAAATAAATAAATAAATAAATAAATAAATAAATAAATAAATAAATAAATAAATAAATAAATAAATAAATAAATAAATAAATAAATAAATAAATAAATAAATAAATAAATAAATAAATAAATAAATAAATAAATAAATAAATAAATAAATAAATAAAAACATTGATCTTACATCTTTTATGATGGTTGTTTAAAGATAAATCGAAAATTAATACGGGACTTTAGTCTCTTGAGAATATTTCTTCTTCAATGAATTGTCGGTTAAACTAGTAAGAGGTGGTTTTGAACAAATATAATGTTGAATAACCAATGCATTTTTCTCTAATTCTGTCTGTCATAGAAACATATACAACCCGTACACCAGCGTTCAGAAATTATGCAAGTTACATTCACCATAATGACGTATAATAATTATTACTTGTATACAGAATCACCGATTCAATATTGCCTGCTTATCTCAATATGTATCGGATATTAAGTCTAATGCTTATTTGTCACCGCTGACTCAGAAATCATATTAGATATCAACTGAAATAATTGAAATATCCAAGAAATCTGGTAAGGTACAGAAATGGCAGAGACATTATAAGAAAAAAAATTAAAATCTGGTTTAAAACAAACAAATAATACTGGCAATTAAACATTTACGATAAAAAAAACAACAACAAACATTACCAAACGTGCATTTACTTTTCCGCTAAAACAACCTATGGACTGCAAAACTTTCTTTAGGGATTTAAGCCGGTGCTTGTGTGTTGTGTTACAACTTTGCAAAGTTGCCCCGTTTTTCACCTCGGCGTCATTAAGATTATTTTCTGGTCCTTTACGATCGTAATGCATCTTTTTTACATCTCATGAACAGACTCAATCAAATCGAGTGTGCAATTTTCATATTTCATTGCTTTCCATGTTTCTCTTTTTTCCAGAGTTTGAAAAGCAGTTCTAAACGCTGCAAGTAAGTAAATTTTTATAAACAAAAAGTGTGATCATTTGAATATGGGATATTTAGTTAAAAACACGCATACATAATACGAACACTTCTGCATTTTTAGCTCGACTATTCGATAAGAATAAGTAGAGCTATTGCAGTCACCCGAGCGTCGGCGTCGGCGTCGGTGTCGGCGTCGGCGTCGGCGTAACCACTTATGTTAAAGTTTTTGTAATAGTTCAAATATTTTCAAAATCCATTGACATATGGCTTTGAAACTTTGCACACTTGTTCATCATCATGACCCCAACTTGTAGACAGGAGGAGGTAACTCTATCAAGCATTTTGACAGAATTATGCCCCTTTTTCGACTTAGAATGTATGTTAAAGTTTTTGTAATACCTCAAATATTTTCAAAGTTCATTGACATATGGCTTTGAAACTTTGCACACTTGTTCACCATCATTACCCCAACCTGTAAACAGGAGGAGGTAACTGTATCAAGCATTTTTTTTTACTATCAAGCACTTACAATAGTCGAGCGTTGCTGTCCTACCGACAGCTCTTGTTATATAAACGGTTATAACACAATTTTAATAAATATTTCGGAAGTTTGTCAAAACATAAATATTACAGGAGGCTCATTAAATAATAAATAATAATAATAAAAACAAAACTAAAAAAAAAATACATTTCAGACAAGACCAAATTTATCTGTTTCCCTTGACTAGATATTGATTTACCAATCAATGATAATGTGACTACTTAAGTGAAGGCATGTATAAAGTAATGTGCAATAACCTCGGATTGCCCATGAAAACCCGATGGCTTATTTCCAATGGGGTCCTTGGATATACATGTATACACTAGAATATACAATATAAAAAAACAACGTGAAAAAAAAACAACAAAAAGACGTGACAAAAATTTTGGAAACTGGATGAAGATATTAATAGTAATTTACTTTTTAAAAATAATGGAAAACGAGTTTTCTTAATAAAATCCTTACTAGCTGTTATTGAATGTTTGCATTAGGTGTCAGAAGCCAAACATATAAGACTCGGGTAAGAGAGGTGGTAAAATATGATAAGTGTGGAAAAGCGTATGTGTTGACAAATATTTTGCACAAAAGATGGAATGTACAAATGACCACATATTATTCCCTGCGACCGCAGGGTATTGGTACGCGTTTAACTTTTGAGGCCAAACTCCTCGCAGGAGCACGTGACCTGTTTTCGGTACATGGAGGAGCATGTGATTTGTACACCGTACATGATTGGTTAATTGACCTTTTCCAAAACCTGGCTAAATACCGTTGCCTGTACGTTAAGGATTTACATCTAGGTAATTAGTCAGAATTACACCTAATTAAGAACAAAAAAACTTACGTGATATTTCTAATTTGCTATAAATATTTTACCGTTTAAGGTTGAAAAAACTTGAATGATGTGTTTGAAATTATCAATGTTTCTTTAATGTATCTATCTCAAATTTTACAAACAATAAATTGTTTATACTGAAAATCTACAAATTAAAATATTCGTAGTGGCATCTGCCATAATCAATAAAGATATTTTCTGCGTAAACTTGTGTGTTTACTTTATTTTTTGCTCGGAATTATTCATAAAATGGTAGCCCAACAAATTGTGCGCTTTAGGGCTTTTTTATATAGATGATGGTCGCCCTTCGCGACAGACAGACAGACATATATGAAATATCAGATTATAAAATCGGTCTGTCTTGCCGTCGAAATATTGAGACTAATAAAATGGTAGACCTATTTAATCATTTTCTTAAAAAGAAATTATTATATTTTATATTATTAAAAATGTTCCCCGCAGGAAACCATTTTACTTGTACGTTTACTGTATTTCAGATATAGCAAAGTGATAGGGGCAAACAACTTTTTATAGATGATGTATATATTCTATGTTTCATGAATAATAAACCACAACGGGTTGCGACTAATTCCGTACCGGGGTGAGACCTTAGCCAATCACTAGCAAATACGGAACTATGCGGGCTGTAGACAGGTTTTAAACAGTGTTTGAAACCACTTTTGTAAACATCATAAAATTGTTATAAATTTATTATTTCGTCAAGATGAGCTCATCAGGTAATGATGACAATGATATCAGCGAGGAAAGGAAGATTTTACCTCTCGGACTAAACTCAGAAGAACGCCCGAGTAAGTTGTATAATTTTATTAATCATTCATTGATTCAAAATGAACAAGGACAAAATTTGTAATTATTTGCCCACCTGCCCCACGGCCAGGTGTTCGGCGCGTTGATTGGTCACTACACCCAATCCCCATTATAACCCCAGACCAAACAATCATAACTGCAGTGATTTTGCATGTAATATGCGATTAAATATCGTGGGGTGCCTGTTTAAGACCCTTACTGTTTATTGAAAGACCCTTATGTCAAAATTAGGTCTTCACAAATGTTATTTTAGAAAGAAAACATTTGGATATTTTAAAACACCAAAGTAAATTTAATGTATTTTTAAAATTTCTTGAACAAAATATACAGTCAAAGGACATAATTATTCGCCACTTTCAAAATGGCGGCCAATTACGCAATCTTAAGCAACTAAAAGGAGACGGTCATTATAGAATTAAAAGTAATCATCTTACCTCAATATTTTGTCAGATTTCCTTTCATTCTTATTACTTCTTTAATTCTATGTGGAATTGTTCTATAAAGACCTTGTACACGCTCTAGTGATATATTTTCCCATATATGTGAAATTTCGGCAATCAGCTGTTCGCGGGTATGTATGTAACTTACGCGGTGTTTCAATCGTCGTTTGATGTGTAACCAAAGATTTTCTATTATATTTAAGTCAGGAGAGTATGCTGGCCATGATGTTGTAGTTACATCATTTTCTGTTAAATAATTTTTTACTAATCCGGCTCTATGAACGGGGGCATTGTCATCCTGGAACACATAGTCATTATTTCCAAAATGCCTTGCAATAACTGGCCATAAATTATTTTCTAACACATCTAAATATTTCTGTGCATTTATATTACCCTCAACAGCAGTCAAAGTTCCAATACCCCCAAAGCATACACATCCCCAGACCATAACACTAAGCTTAGCCCTGGGAGCGGGACAAACTAAGTGAGGTTTATATTTTTCGTCATCTTTCCTCCAAATAAAAATATTGTTATTTTTCCCGATCACCACCTGACTTTCATCACTAAAGATCCACTTACTCCAGTGTTCTTCCACAGTCCAATGTTTTCTTTCATTACACCATTTTACCCGATTTTTTCGACTACCCCCGCCAACAACCATCCTCTTCTGTACAGCCCTCCTTTTATACCCCAACTCGTGAATTTTTCTTTCAATAGTTTTATCACAAAAAGTTCGATCCATACCTGTATTCATCATATCTGTAACATCTCTCAAAGTCCTTTTCCTGTTACATTTTATAATCCGAGAAAGTTTTGTTCTGTCTCGTTCCGTAAATAATTTTTTTCTACCCCTCCCACTACGATTTTCAACACTTCCATACTGTTGATATTTCTTTATCACACTTTTAATTGTTGATCTAGGAATACCCAGTAATCTTGACAATTCTGACTGATTTTTATTCTCCTTAAAACTATTTATAATCAATTCTCGTACATCCCTACTTAATTCTTTTGTTTTCGGGGCCATTTTTAAAAACGCCCACGAAATAAACTTGTAAACAATGCAGACGAATTATTGACCTGTATATTACGTCACCAAAGACTGATTGAACTTTGGCCCTGTTTACATGAATAATACTATCGGTTATTTATAGCGCGCAGCTTAAATTCTAAGGGTACATGTATATGGTGCGTAGCGCGAACGTCAGGGGTGGCGAATAATTATGTCCTTTGACTGTACTAGGTATTTTAACAAGCACAGTAAAATGCTTAGGGCAACAAATCATGGCCACCCAAGGATATTATATGAAATTATGATTGTGATAACATTTCTTTCATTTAAGACTAAAACAAAAACAGATGCTTCACTCTGAAGTTTGATCAGTGCCTTAGAATTGATTAAATTTAATTAAAATAGGGCATCATTTACTTTACATAATTCTATAATGTACTTATAAAGTTTATATATCTCAAATGAAAATATCTGAGAGTGAAACATCAATACAATAGTAGAATTGACAAGTGGGAGTGAAATATCTATATGTGAAAAGTGATCAGATTGAAAAAGCTCAATAGTACAATGTTTTGGGTAGTGAAATGTGTGGCATTTGGTTTGTCCAACTGAAATATAGATAACTATTATGTTAACTTGTTAAGCCTGATCAAATTGTTTTCTTTGAAAATGAGAGGTTCCAAAAATATTTAAGATAGACAAATCTTTAAATTATGGTGGCTGTTTTGTGCCATTCCTGTATTCCTCCCGCAACCCCGCCAAATGAAAAGTGGGGAATTAACAAGTTAAAATGGCCGGGACCCGGAGCAAAAACACTCTTATTAGCGGGGTTGCGGGGCGAAGTTTAAGAAATAACTTCTCGCCCCATGGTGGCGCGGATCGAAATTTAAGAAATAAAACGGCGTGGTGCAAAGTAAAATAAAATAAAACTTTGCCCCGCGCCCCTGCTAATTAGCGAGTTTTCACCCCAAGACCCCGTCAAGGGAAAAGTTGAGAATTAACAAGTTAAAATTGTGGGAACGCGGAGCAAAAACACGCTGATTAGCGTGCCCATGCTTATTAGAGTGTTTTCGCCCCGCGACACCGTCAATCGAAAAGTCAAGAATTAACAAGTTAAAATGGCGGGGTCGCGAAACACGAATGACACAAATCAGCTACCATAATTGCATGTGATATTTTCTTCTTAATTGAAAAACTTGTATAATGATTAATATCCGGAAGTTTCCAATAAAATCATAAGCGTAAATTTTGACTTTCTTTTACATTATGAAACTAGTGACAGGCTTGGTTTAAACTAATAATATACTGTTTTTCAAACATTATTTCAGTTCCTTTGAAGTCTATAAAGGTAGATGTTCAGATACTTGGCTATGTAGCTGAAGTGACATCCTTGCTGACCTACTTCAATACAGAGGAGACCCCAGTTGAGGCGGTGTTTACATTCCCTGTAGATGATGGCAGTGCAGTGTTTCAGTTTGAGGCTCACATTGATGGCCGTCATATTGTCGCTGAAATCCAGGAACGTGAGCAGGTTGGTTTCATACAATTTTTTTTTACATTTGATTATGTATTTCTGAGAATATAAATGTAATCATGTGGCCAATGCACTGTTCCCTTTTCAGTCAGTGCATATTTTGATATTTTCCTTATTAATAGAAGAATGGTTTTGTACAGATTGAAAGATGGACAAATCCTTTAAATCTTTTAGCATGGTAAAAGTTAATGATTGTCAAGATCTGACTGTAACTTTAATTATAACATTATATATACTAAATGATTTTATCTCAGGCACAATTGACTTATGACGATGCTGTTCAAAGTGGAAAAACAGCCTTGCTGCTAAAAGAAGACAGTTCTGCTGGGGACATCTTCAGTTGTATGCTGGGTAATCTACCAGCTAAAACTGAGGCGTCATTGGTGATGAAATATGTGATTGAATTACCACAAGAACCTGATGGTCAACTAAGATTCACACTCCCTACTGTACTTAATCCAAGATACTCTCCAGGTAGCAGACAGATTTTTCTGTACATTAGATTGGAAAGCCTATTTTCTAATAATAAGTTTAAATGGAATATAGCAAACATAATAATTTGTTCAAGTTTACCAATTAATAAATAACTTTTGTTTTGCAAATTAGATATAAGGGTGCACTTCAGCTTTGATGATGCCACCATTAACTGGAGGAAACTCCTGGTTTTAGTGAAAAATAAGGGTACAATTTTCCATGCAATAAAGATAAGAAATCGCAAATTTCAAAAATGTAATGGCAAAATTACAGAACTGTAATCGTGCAATTACAAAACAGTTATACTCATATTACATAAATTGTGTTTTTTTCTTAGATCAGGGTGGATTAGTTGCTGCTGAGGGTGCCACATATGTCCCACCATCTAAAGTACCATATGAATTTAGCTTGATTGCTACAATCAAAGGTTACCATAAAGTAACCTCAGTCACCTCAGAAACAATCTCATTAAATGTTCATTTTGAGGATAACAACAAGATAGCAATGGTGAGTGAAAATTGTGGTGAAAAAAATAAAACTTCCCAAAGATCTGTAACATATTTAATGTAAAGGGTATTTTATTTTATTTGAGTTGTCTGTTGTCAAATTAGTTCAACTGTTGAACCAAAACTCAATCTAATATACAGTCAAATCCACTTATAACGAACTTGCTTAAAAACGAATTACATGTATTGTTAATAGCAAACTGAATCTGAAATACCGGGCCAATGCCTTCTTTATTTTATATTAAACCACATGGCTTAATACATAATTGCTTAAAACAAATTTTTTCGGCTATAGCAAACCATTTTTGCAAGTCCCAAATGGCAAAAGAACACGTTTACTTCCTCGGTTAAAACAAACTGTTATAATTGAAATGTCTGGATGCGCTCGATTATAGATCAGGACATAAATACCGCTATCCGATAATCTTTTGTCTAAATCAAATACATGTACATGTATATGATATACTGTTCAATTAAATGCCCTGCGTAAAATTATTGCCGCAATAAAATACCGATCACACAAGTCACCAATGACGGGTATGGCTTTTTAACGGCAAATTTGCCAATCCTAACAAGTCAGCGAAAGATGTTGCTACTTTGCTTTTAACAAACTTTGGATATGACGAACAATATTTAAATGTCCCATTGAGTTCGTTATAAGCGGAGTCGACTGTGTCATCATATATATCTGATGACATGCCAACAATGCAACATACAATTGACAGAACTATATTTGCATAAATAGTTTGCTTACTTTTACATGTTCATAAACACAGCTTGATATTTAATTGATTTCATTTTGATAACAGTCATAAGTGTAAGACAGAGTCACTAGGTATGAAAATTTTTCTTACCTTCATCTTTGTCAAATTGAACCCACCTTAGAATCTTGGCAAGTGTCTAATAATTATTTGCCACTGTAGCAATTTGTTTGACTTTAAGCTTTGTGAAAATTGTGTTATATCAAGTTTTGCATATTAACGTCAAACCAAAAACAGCAGCTTTTTCAAGCTTTGTGGTTGTGGCATCATTATTAGCTCACCTGTCACAAAGTGACAGGGTGAGCTTTTGTGATCGCTTTTCGTCCGGCGTCCGTCCGTCCGTCGTCCGTCCGTCCGTCCGTCCGTAAACTTTTACTTTAAATGACATCTCCTCATAAACCACTGAGCCAATTTCATCCAAACTTCACAGGAATGTTCCTTTGGTGGTCACCTTTAAAAATTGTTCAAAGAATTTAATTCCATGCAAAACTCTGGTTGCCATGGCAACCGAAAGAAAAAACTTTAAATATCTTCTTTTAAAAAACCATAAGAGCTAGAGCTTAGATATTTGGCATGAAACATCTTCTAGTGAGTGTCTACCAAGTTTGTTCAAATAAAAGCCCTGGGGTCAAAATTGGCCCCGCCCCGGGGGTCATTGATTTTCCCTATATGCATATAGTAAAAACTTAAAAATCTTCTTTTAAAGAACCCAAAGAGCTAGAGCTAAGATATTTAGCATGAAACATGTTCTAATGGGTGTCTACCAAGTTTGTTCAAATAAAAGCCCTGGGTGAAAAATTGGCCCCGCCCGGGGGTCATTGATTTTCCCTATATGCACATAGTAAAAACTTAAAAAATCTTCTTTTAAAGAACTCAAAGAGCTAGAGCTTAGATATTTGGCATGAAACATCTTCTAGTGAGTGTCTACCAAGTTTTGTTCAAATAAAAGCCCTGGGGTCAAAATTGGCCCGCCCCGGGGGGTCATTGATTTTCCCTATATGCATATAGTAAAAACTTAAAAAATCTTCTTTTAAAGAACCCAAAGAGCTAGAGCTAAGATATTTAGCATGAAACATGTTCTAATGGGTGTTCTACCAAGTTTGTTCAAATAAAAGCCCTAGGGTGAAAATTGGCCCCGCCCCAGGGGTCATTGATTTTCCCTATATGCATATAGTAAAAACTTAAAAATCTTCTTTTAAAGAACTCAAAGAGCTAGAGCTTAGATATTTGGCATGAAACATCTTCTAGTGTGTGTCTACCAAGTTTGTTCAAATAAAAGCCCTGGGGTCAAAATTGGCCCCGCCCCTGGGGGTCATTGATTTTCCCTATATGCATATAGTAAAAAACTTAAAAAAATCTTCTTTTAAAGAACCCAAAGAGCTAGAGCTAAGATATTTAGCATGAAACATGTTCTAATGGGTGTCTACCAAGTTTGTTCAAATAAAAGCCCTGGGGTGAAAATTGGCCGCCCCCGGGGGGTCATTGATTTTCCCTATATGCATATAGTAAAAACTTAAAAAATCTTCTTTTAAAAAAACTCAAAGAGCTATGGCCAAGATATTGAGCATCAAACATGTTCTAATAGGTGTCTACCAAGTTTGTTCAAATACAAGCCCAGGGGTCAAAATTGGCCCCGCCCCGGGGTCATTGATTTTCTTTATATGTGTTTAGCAAAAACTTTAAATCTTCTTTGAAAAAACCCAAATAGCTAGAGTTGAAATAAAATAAAAGCCCTGGGGTCATAACTTGCCCGGCCCCAGGGGTGTCATTGTTTTTAACTATATGTGTATAGTAAAAACTTTAAAAAAATCTTCTTTTAAAAAGCCCAATGAGCTAGAGCTTAAATGTTTAGCATGAAACATCTTCTTATGGGTGTCTACCAAGTTTGTGCAAATAAAAGCCCTTGGGTTAAATTGGCTCTGCAACGTTGGGGGGGGGGGGGGGGGGGGGGGGTTGGGGGGCCTATATACAGGTGAGCGACCTCAGGGCCATCATGGCCCTCTTGTTTTTCTATTATGATTATATTGCAGGTTAGCCTTGGTGAAGATTTCAAGTTTGATCATGATCTTAGATTTATTGTGCAGTATGAGTCACCTTATTCTCCACAGATTGTCCTTGAAGACGGAAATCCTGAAGCTGGTGAGAATCTTAAAAAAAAAAACATTTATATTTTTAGTGAAAGTAATGGCATTGATCGGCAAACCGACATTATACAGTCAGGCCAGTCTGTAATACCAGGTGATATACCAGCCAGTCTGTAAAACCAGGTGTTATATTAGTAGTATAGAGTCAGATCAATCTGTAATACCTGGTGGTATACCAGCAGTTTACAGTTAGGCCAGTCTGTAATACCAGGTGGTATACCAGCATTATACAGTCAGGCCAGTCTGTAATACGAGGTGCCATAACAGCAGTATACAGCCTGGCCAATCTGCAATACCAGGTGGCATACCAGCATTTTACAGTCAGGCAAGTCTGTAATACCAGGTGGTTTACCAGTAATATACAGTCATGCCAGTCTGTTATACCTGTTGGTATACCACAGTCTGTAATACCAGGTGGTATACCAGCATAATACAGTCAGACCAGTCTGTAATACCAGGTGTTATGCAAGTAGTATACAGTCATGCCAGTCTGTTATACCAGGTGGTATACTAGCAGTATACAGTCAGGCCAGTCTGTAATACCAGGTGGTATACCAGTATTTTTCAGTCAGACCAGTCTGTAATACCAGGTGGTATACCAGCATTATACAGTCAGGCCAGTCTGTAATACCAGGTGGTATACCAGCATTATACAGTCAGGCCAGTCTGTAATACGAGGTGGCATACCAGCAGTGATACAGTCATGCAAGTCTGTAATACCAGGTGGTATACCAGCAGTATACAGTCAGACCAATCTGTAATAACAGGTGGTGTACCAGCAGTTATACAGTCAGACCAGTCTGTAATACAAGGTGGTATACCAGCATTATACAGTCAGGCAAGTCTGTTATACAAGGTGGTATACCAGCAGTATACAGTAATACCAGGTTGTATACCCCAGCAGTATGCAGTCATGCCAGTCTGTTATACCAGGTGGTTTACCAGCAGTATACAGTCAAGCAAGTCTGTAATACCAGGTGGCATACCAGCATTATACAGTCAGGCCAGTCTGTAATACGAGGTGGCATACCAGCAGTATACAGTCAGACCATTCTGTAATAACAGGTTTTGTACTAGCATTATACAGTCAGGCAAGTCTGTAATAACAGGTGGTGTACTAGCATTATACAGTCAGGCCAGTCTGTAATACGAGGTGGCATACCAGCAGTATACAGTCAGACCATTCTGTAATAACAGGTTTTGTACTAGCATTATACAGTCAGGCAAGTCTGTAATACCAGGTGGTATACCAGCATTATACAGTCAGACCAGTCTGTAATACAAGGTGGTATACCAGCATTATACAGTAATACCAGGTTGTATACCAGCAGTATGCAGTCATGCCAGTCTGTTATACCAGGTGGTTTACCAGCAGTATACAGTCAAGCAAGTCTGTAATACCAGGTGGCATACCAGCATTATACAGTCAGGCCAATCTGTTATACCAGGTCTGAGGTGGCATACCAGCATTATACAGTCAGGCCAGTCTGTAATACCAGGTGGTATACCAGTAGTATACAGTCAGGTCAGTCTGTAATACCAGGTGATATACCAGTATTATACAGTCAGACCAGTCTGTAATACCAGGTGGTATACCAGTAGTATACAGTCAGGCAAGTCTGTAATACCAGGTGGTATACCAGCATTATACAGTAAGGCCAGTCTGTAATACAGGTGGCATACCAGCAATGTAGAGTCAGGAACAGTATGTAATACAGGTGATATACCAGCAATGTAGAGTCAGGACAGTATGTAATACCAGGTGATATACTGGCAATGTAGAGTCAGGACAGTATGTAATACCAGGTGATATACTGGCAATGTAGAGTCAGGACAGTATGTAATACCAGGTGATATACTGGCAATGTAGAGTCAGGACAGTATGTAATACCAGGTGATATACTGGCAATATATTATCAGACCAATCTGTAATACGAGGTGGTTTAGTTTAAACATATTTTATTTCAAACATTTTCACACAAACAATTATTTTACATACAATCATTAGTTACATAATAAACAATGCTGAAAAAGGATTAGATCCGAAAGCATACAATGCTTATAGAGGTCTTTTCCTAACATATAATTCAATTACTGTAAATTCGGCGGTAAATTACATGTTTCGAAATAGTAATATTCATGAAACCATTTTATAGGATGATGAATGAAGAAAGACGAGGATGGCAAAAGTGTCTATTCAGAGCTAAAAGTAAAAAAATTAAGTAGTTGAAATAAGTTAGATAGGAAATCATGCTATAATATGTTTTAAAATCAACATGAAATGCTAATACTGTGACCTAGTGAAATGACACACAAAAACATATTGAGATTGATGGTCAGAAAAAGATGAGATTGAGTCAGTAAAAATGGTGCAAATACATTATATTAAGGAAAAGATATTATTATAGAATCTATTCGGTATGTCAACGGAGTGAGCAGAGTTTGCAAAGGACTATGGAAAACGTTCGCTATCTCGGATATATATTTGAACTGCCTCCAGTGACGATGATGTCTGTTATATTTGTGTCTAATGCCATATTAAGAGAATCCTCGATAAAAGTTGTGTAAAGTGCATCGGCATTGGGGGGTCGATAGAAGACACCGAACAGAATATGTTTTGTTTGGGAAAATATAATCTCAACCCATTGACATTCAATATTTCTTGGTTCGAGATCCAAACGGCGTTTGTAGAAAAGCGAATCTTTGATGTATAAGATTACTCCACCGTGACGGTCATCAATCCTATCCTTTCTTTCAGGAGTGTGAAAGCATGGTATCGAGACATCCGAATCAGAGATATTTGGATTAAGCCATGTTTCTGAAAAGGCAAGGATATCAAATACCAAATCGTGTACTAGCATTATACAGTCAGACCAGTCTGTAATACCAGGTTGTATACCAGCAGTATACAGTCAGACCAGTCTGTAATTGAGCTGAATAGCTTGGTGTCAGTAATGTGCTTATGAATGTGCTATTCTGTCAATGATTGTATTATATATGTATATTTTACCAGTGAAGTAGCACTGCTTAATGCTGTATTCCCTGCTTCAGATGAACATTATTGCAAATTATGGCTTTGTAACCCTGAGACTAAAAAAAGTCAAATCATGCTGACTTGTTTTTTTCTTTTCTATATTTTATTATATTTTCTTCTTTTAGATGGTTTGTTAAAGGAGGACATGTTAATGATCAGCTTTTATCCAGACCTGAAAGAAGTTGCCATGGCAACCAATGGCGAATATATCTTTGTTATAGATAGATCAGGTAAATATAGACCATGTGATATTTCATGAAAATTAAGGTGCAATTAAGGATGAATACAGGGCAAATGTATAACTTTGTAAAGGTTAAAAGTCAAATTTTGTTTCTGAAGATAAAAATTAAAAGGTTTAAATATTTATTCTTATAGCACAAATATTAAAATTGGCAGCATGGCTGAGTGGTTAATGCGTCAGACTAGTACTCTAACTGTCACTAGCCGCATGGGTTCAAACCCCGTCAGGGGCAAGTCGTTTCCTTCAGCAAGAAACTTTACACTCATTGCTCAGTACTGGTTGGTTCCAGGAACAGATTCAAAAGTGTGTCTATAAGCTTATAACTTATTACACAATCAAACTAAAATAAACCAAATATTAAAAATTTTATGGCTATCCTACTCACCAATGTGTTGGCCTCCACATAACACTTTCAATAAAAGTTTGACAAGCTAATTCTTGTACAATATCATATCTCACGGATATCTCAGGCATAGATTTTGAATGATATAATTATGGCTTTTTGTGACAGGACAAAAATCTTCTGTCAATATCCAAGGCTCATAACTGTTTTTCTGTTCTGTTAATTCTTACATTATCCAGTGCTCATTGTTATACTATCAAGCACTGAGAAGTGAGAATAATTAACAAGTTCCTACTGACAGCTTTCATTATGTATATTTTTTACTATGATAATATATATTTTTATGAAGTGGCATTTTAAGATTTTTTTTTTTAATTTTCCAATGTAGCTCAATTTTAAATCATACTTATGATATGACATGTATGAAATATTAGAAAATGCATTTTTATCAGTACAATTTAATTTAGTTTATAAAAAGATGGTGTTATTTAAATTTTCAGGCAGTATGCATGGAGACCTGATCGCAAATGCAAAAGAAGCTCTTTTTCTCTTCCTGAAGAGTCTGCCAACTAACTGTTACTTCAACATTATCAGTTTTGGGTCTCAATACAAATCGCTGTTCTCAAGGTATTTTTTAAACAAATTGAAGTACAATTTGGTTAATATAAATCTAAATTTATTCAGAAACTTCAGTATACTCTATTAACAGTGCGGCTATAGATCTTGCTTTGCTTAGTGATGTCAAACCTTTGTCTGAATTTCTTTCCATCTCTTGGACAATATGATAATGTTTGGGAAAGTTTTTTTTATTTAGCCTGTAATGTTGGAGGATGAGATAGTATTGGGGGATAATTGAGGTTGTCAAGGGACATTTTGTTAAAGTGAAGAAAGGTATTGTAAAATTTTTATCCAGTTTTATTGTACAGACATTTTCAAGGTTGAGCAAATTACACTGAAAATCATTGAGTCAGTCTTCAAGACTTTATTTCAGTGGCAGCAAAAAGTACACAGAGTCAAGTTTAAATGAAGCAATCAAAGTACAAAAAGAAATGGATGCTGATATGGGTGGTACAGAAATTCTCAAACCTTTAGAACAGGTTTTCAATAAAAAGCTTATACCAGAACACCCAAGAAGGGTCAGTTTTTATTTGTTATGCACATTTGAAAATTAATCTTGAGGTGAAAAAATGATATGTTTTATATTTTAACATTTTGTACATCTGAAATACTTAACTAGGATACAAACATTACTGATAGAAAGAGTTTTGTTGATAGGGCTAAAATCTTGGTCACTGATACAAAAAGTAGGCATTTCTTCATTTATTGACAGATAAATCTGAGATATGTTATTTTGAACATGTATGTTCTTACCTTGCATTTACATTTGAACCTTGATGAGGTGTTAATTGTTACCTAGGTGACAGGTGAAATTTACCACTTCATGTCATCACTTTGTATTGTTTTTAACATTTTAACAACTTGTTAATTGTTTGTGAGCATCTATCACAGATAATGTTTCATATCTCAAGCATTCAAAAAAAAATTCAAAAAATTCAGAAACATTTTTAAAACAAATCAGAAAAGTTAATGTACATGTATGTTATAATATTTTTACGACTTTTTCCCCAGGTTTTTGTGCTAACTGATGGGGGAGTAAGCAATACAGATAAGGTAATTGGACTGGTCAGCAAAGAGTCCAAAAAATCAAGTACAAGGTAGACTAATTAGATATATTCTATAAACATTTAGGTATTATAATCAGTTTGTTGTTGTTTCTTCTATAACATCAACAGGATCAATGCTTTTTGCTATCATTTCTATCCCTTGTAAAGATTTTGGGTGGGCAAACAGAAATGGACCCTGATCAGCCCTGCCCGGTCCGCGGGCGGGTCAAAATTTCACCCCCTTTTTGACAAATATTTTTTTTTGGGTTTTTTGGGGCAGGGGGCAGCTCAATCGGGAAAGCTTAAAATAAGGCCCCCTTTTGAAAATTTTTTTTTGTTTTCCCCCCACTTTCCAAAATCCCAGTTTGGGAAAAGGTAGGTAGGTAAATAAAAACTTTTTTAAACCCAAAAAATATTTTTTTTCTGCAAAAATTAAAAGAAATTTAAAATAATTTGAAAAATTGCTTAGAAATCTTTTAAAATTTTTAAAGAATCCTTTTTTCAAATTTTTAAGGGCCATCATTTTATCAAAATTTTCTTCTTAACCCCAAAAAAAAGAACAGATAAAAAGAAAATTAAAAAATGTGTTTCTCTTTAAATTTTTTTCCCAGGAAATTTATTTGTTTTGGGGTAGCGGTGATTTTTCTGGGTAGGAAAGCGGGAAAGGGGAAACAAATAACTATTTTTTTTAATGCCTTTTTTGGGAGTGTTTTTTTTTTGGGCTGAAAAAAAGATACATTTAAATCAGTGTTTTTAATTTTTTTTCAGATTTTTCACTTTTGGGTTTAAGGCGAGGGCGTATCAAAAAATCGGGGAAAAAGGTTTTTTGGCAAAAAATGGTCAGGGAAAGGAAAGAATTTATAGCGGGAAATTGATCGTTACACCCCAAAGGGGAAATTTTAATTTGTTTAAACCTATCCCATTTGGCCCTTTGATTTTTTAAATTTAATTTTAATTTTAAAATATTTTAAATGTCATAAAAAAAATAAAAAAATTTTGGCTGCAAAAAAATATTTAGACAGTATGGAAATAAAAATTAGTCGGGTTTTAAAACTGATTGAAATTAAATTTTATAAATTTTAATTGCAAAAAGGAATATTTCAAATGAATTCTTTTAAAGATTTTAACAAAAATGATGGATAAATGTAAAAACAAATTTTGCATAAATTTTTCCCAAACTTTTTTGCAAGATTATTCAAAATTTTGATTGCATAAATTTTCAAAATGATTCCCTTTAGATTTTAAAAAAAACTAAATTGCATAAATGTACAAAACGGGTTTGGAAAATTAAAGGGTTTTTAACAATTTAAAATTCAAAAATAAAAAAATGAATGAAGTTTTTACAAACAAATTGCAAAATGGAAAAAAATGTTTTGGCCAAAAAGAAAAATACAAAATTGGATGGCAAAAGATGTGAAAATTTTGTTTTTGCATAGATAAACAAAGGATGGGAAAAACACGAAAACAAAAAAACTTAAATTGCAAAATTGTACAAATGGTTTGGCAAGATTAAAAAATTTGAGGCATAATATAAAAAAATTTTATAAAATAGATGTAACTTTTTTGCTTTACAAAATTGATTGCAATAGATTAGCAGAAATGATGGCATAAGGATTTTTAAACAAAAATTGGGCTTTTAAAATTTTGGTCCCAAAATGTTTGGGGAAATAGTTTTTATACAAAAATTTTGGAAATAGAAATTTTTTAAAACTTTGTTTTAGAAGTTTAAAAAATAAAGGGGTTTTGATTACAAACGGGAATTGCATAAATTTAAAAAAAATTTTTTGGCTTTAAAAAGGGAAAAAAATTGATAGATGGGGGGTAACAAACTAAATTTTGAAATAAATTACAAAATGTTTGCAAAAGATTTTAAAAAATGGCATAAGAAGAAAAAATGAGGGCATAGGGGGTACAAAAAGGATTTTTTTAAATCAAAATTTAAAATTTTTACAAAAAAAAAATACAAATGTCAAAATTAAGGGGCATAGGAGTAAAAATGAGGGAAAAACTTTTAAAAGGGTTAAAAGAGAAAACGGGTTTTGGCAATAGTTTGTCCCAAAATTTTTCCTTTTCCCCTTTTGTTATTTTAATTTTTATTTTTTGGGAAATTTTTAAATTTTTAAAACTTTTTAAATTTCCCATCACTAAAATTAAACACATTTTCAAAAAAAAATTTTTGATTTTTTTTTTTTTCCCATTAAAGGCAAAGTATAAATTGCAAAAAGTATTTAAAAATTAAATTTTTTAAAATTTAAATTTTTAAAATTTTAAATTTGCACTTTGGAAAAACCCGGGTTTTTAAAGAAAAAAAGAGAATTTTTCCAACATATAAATAAATTTTGTTAAAGTTACTTTAATTTTAATTTTCAAAAATAAGGGATTACCTAATGCAAATTTTTAACATTTTTTAAATGGAAACCCTTTTTGGTTTTCTATAAAAAAAAATTTTCTGCCCTTTTTTTAGTCCTTCATGGGAGCAAAATTTTAGGCCCCCAACGGGGCTTTTTTTTGGAAAAATCCTGTTTTTTTTTTGGTGGAATTTTTGGTTTTTTTTTTAACGGGTTTTAAAAATTTTATTTCATTTTAATAAAAAATTGTTAATTTTTATCAAAAATTTGAATGTTTTTCTCTCCTGTTTATTTGGTTTTTTTAAAACAAAATTTTTTTTTTCTTTAAAAAAAGCCCGGGGAATAAACTTTTTTTCGGGAAGATATTTTTTTTAAAAAAATAAAAAAATTATAAAAAAAAATTGGGGGTTTTCCCCCCCCCCCCCTTTTACCTGGGGGTTCCCCTTGGGGTTTCTTTTAAGGTTTTTGCCCAATTTTCTAATTTTAATTTTCAATTAAAAAATTTTAAGGGATCATTAACAAATTTTTTAAAGGGACCCTTATTTTTTAAGGTTTATTGAAACAGGTGTTTAATCATTTTTTGGGGAAGTTGCCAATGCACCCCTGCCATCAAAATATTCATGTTTGGGATTACCCTTCCGGGTACCCAAACCCTTTGTAAAAACCTTTTACTAAAATTCCAAAAAATCTTATTTCCCTTTGGTGAAAGGGAAACCCCTTTTTTGGGGCCCGGGGGGCCCCTACAGAATGTTAATAAAAGATTTTAAAGTTTTATATTTCAGCAATGTTTTTAGAAATTTTATTTTATTTATAAAAGGAAATTCTGTCATATTTAATATGGGTATGACCTATCTTTGAAACTTTATGTTTTTTTAAAGAAAGAAATTAAGGGTTCGGGGGAAAATTTTTTTCTTTAAAATTTGCCTTTTTTTATTTTTCTTTTACTGGCGGATTTTTTTTTTATTTTGGCGGGGAAACATTTTTGGGAAAAGCAAAAGAGTGGGCCAAACCTAAGAAATTTAAAATTTTATGTTTTCCTAAATTTCTATTCATTTTCTTTTTTTTAGTTTTGGGGGTTGAAAAACAAAAAGTCCTTTTTTGGGCAAAGGGGGTTTGGGGGCTTTAAGGGTTTGGGAGGCACCAAGAATGGAGCCCAATTTATTCTTTTTTTTGTGACCCCTGCGTGTTTTGGGTCGGGGCCCGACAAAAAGGGGTTTTAAAAATTTAGGGGGGAATTTGGGTTTGTAAATTTCGGGTTTTCCCTACGGGGGGCCCCTTAAAAGGGGCCCACCCCAAAACCGGGGGTTTAAATACCGAAAAAACACCCCCTAAAGACGGATATAATTTTTTTTTAAATTTTAAATAGCAAAAGGGACAAAGGGAAAATTTTTGGTTTGGGAAGTTTGAAACCAAAAACGGGGTAAAATAAGGGGAAAATAAACTAAAGGGAATAAATTTCGGCCACATAGGTCGGTGTACACACTTAAAACATATTTTGCAAGAGATGACCATATCACCATTTTTCATGTTATAAAAACAAATGATTAGGATTCATTAAATTTCGAAATAAAAGAAAATATTTGATCATGTATAAGTAAATATTAGAAACCATGCATGAAATTTACTATAGTATTTTGTTTTTGTGTGACTTACTATCCAGAAATTGCTAGTTTTACTTAATATACATCTGCAAAGAACTTTTTTACCCTATATGTCCTCTAGCAACATTTTAAATGGCCTTCTACGATAAAAGATGTATGTCAATGTTATCGTTTATTTTGGGTTTTTAATGAAGGAAGAAAGCTTATTTTCATTCATTTTGGTACAAAATTATACTGTCTCATGTGAATAACTAAAGCTGCATTTGCAATTTTCACATAATTCAAACAATGTTCTCGAAAACCATAAAACACAGGTCAATGCACTTGGTATTGATATTTGAAGAAAGTTAATGTGCATATGATAGACTAGGTCTAGTTTGGATTTAGGAAAGGTTTCTCACCTAAATTTATAAAAATAATGAACTAACCAAGGCTCAGAAGTCGCCATTACTCATTTGTATAGCAATACAAAGACATGTGATCCCCCTGGTGATATACATTCAGTGCTTTTTAGCTCACCTTGCACAAAGTGCAGGTGAGCTTTTAGGATGGCCAACCAAATGGCGTCCGTCGTCTGTCGTCCGTCCACATTTTAAATATTCTAAGGACATCTTCTATGATACCGCAAGGCCAATGTTAATGAAACTTGGCAGGAATACTCTTTGTATGAAGCTCTATCAAGATTGTTCAAAGAATTCCATTTCATGCAGAACTCTGGTTGCCATGGCAACCGAAAGAAAAATCTTTAAATATCTTCTTTTAAAGAACGTAAGAGCTAGAGCTTAGATATTTGGCATGAAACATCTTCTACTGAGTGTCTACCAAGGTTGTTCAAATAAAAAGCCTAGGGTCAAAATTGGCCCGGCCCCAGGGGGTCATTGCCCGCGAAAGGCCGCCCGGAGATTTCTATATGCATATAGTAAAAAACCTTAAAAAATCTTCTTTAAAGAACTGTAAAAGCTAGAGCTTAGATATTTGGCATGAAACATCTTCTTTTAGTTGAATGTCTACCAAGTTTGTTCAAATAAATAGCCCTGGGGTTAAAATTTTGGCCCCGCCCAGGGGGGTCATTGATTTTCCCTATATGCATATAGTAAAAACTTAAAAAAATCTTCGTTTAAAAGAACCTTAAGAGCTAGAGCTAAGATATTTAGCATGAAACATCTTCCTAATAAGTGTCTACCATGTTTGTTCAAATAAAGCCCTGAGGTCAAAATTTTGGCCCTGCCCTCAGGGGGTCATAGATTTTCCCCTATATGCATATAGTAAAAACTTAAAAAATCTTCTTTTAAAAAGAACCCTAAGAGCTAGAGCTAAGATAATTGACATGAAATATCTTCTAGTGAGTGTCTACCAAGTTTGTTCAAAATAAAAGCCCTGGGTCCAAAATTGGCCCCGCCCGGGGGGGTCATTGAAAAATTTCCCCTATTTAATGCATATAGTAAAAACTTAAAAAAATCTTCTTTAAAGAACCCAAAGAGCTAGAGCTAAGATATCTAGCATGAAACATCTTCTAATGAGTGTCTACCAAGTATGTTCAAAAATAAAAAGCCATGGGGTCAAAATTGTCCCGCCCCGGGGGTCATTGATTTTTCCTCCTATGCATATAGGTAACAACTTTTAAAAAAATCTTCTTTTAAAGAACCATATAGAGCTAGAGCTTGATATTTGACATGAAACATCCAAGTATGTTCAAATAAAAGCCCTAAAAGCCCTGGGGTCAAACTGGTGTTCCACCAAGTATTGTTCAAAAATAAAAGCCCGCCCCAGGGGTCATTGATTTTCCTTATATGTGTAGCAAAAACTTAAAAATCTTCTTTGAAAAAAAGCCCAAAACTAGCTTGAGTTTAGATATTATACATGAAACATTTTTTAAGTCAATATCTACAAAGTTTGTTCAAATAAAAGCCCGGGGGTCAAAACTGGCCCTGCCCCAGGGGTGTCATTGTTTTTAACTATATGTGTATAGTAAAAACTTTAAAAATCTTCTTTTAAAAAACCCAATGAGCTAGAACTTAGATGTTTAGCATGAAACATCTTCTTATGGGTGTTCTACCAAGTCTGTTCAAATAAAAGCCCTTGGGTAAAAATTGGCCCGGGGGGGGGGGGGGGGTGGGGTGGGGGTGGGGGGGCTATATACAGGTGAGCGACTTCAGGGCCATCATGGCCCTCTTGTTTAATATATCATTTAACTTTTTTGTTAGCTCACCTGAGCTTGCTCAGGGTGAGCTTTTAGGATCGATGAATGTCCGTCGTCCGTCCGTCCACAATTGCTTGTGAACACTCTAGCGGTCGCATTTTTGCCTCAATCATCATCAAACTTGGTCAGGATGCTTATCTAGTTGAAAGCTCGGATGAGTTCGAACATGGTCATCATCTCAGATGAAAAACTAGGTCACAAGAGCTAAAAATAGAAAAACCTTGTGAACACTCTAGAGGTCACATTTTTGACCCAATCTTCATCAAACTTGGTCAGGATGTTTGTCTAGGTGATAGCTCGGATGAGTTCGAACATGGGTCATCTCGGATGAAAAAGTAGGTCACAGGAGCTATAAATAGAAAAACCTTGTGAACACTCTAGTGGTCACATTTTTGAACCAATCATCATCAAACTTGGTCAGAATGCTTGTCTAGTCAATTGCTTGGATGAGTTCGAACATGGGTCATCTCTGATGAAAAACTAGGTCACAGGAGCTAAAAATAGAAAAACCTTGTGACCACTCTAGTGGTCACATTTTTGACCCAATCATCATCAAACTTTGTCAGGATGCTTGTTTAGATAATAGCTTGGATGAGTTCGAATATGGGTCATCTCGGATGAAAAACTAGGTCACCGGAGCTATAAATAGAAAAACCTTGTTAACACTCTAGCGGTCACATTTTTGCATCAATCATCATCAAACTTGGTCAGGATGCTTATCTAGTTGATAGCTTGGATGAGTTCGAACATGGGTCATCTCGGATGAAAAAGTAGGTCAACGGAGCTAAAAATAGAAAAACCTTGTTAACACTTTAGCGGTCACATTTTTGCATCAATCATCATCAAACTTGATCAAGATGCTTGTCTAGGTAATAACTCGGATGAGTTCGAACATGGGTCATCTCGGAGGAAAAACTAGGTCACAGGAGCTAAAAATAGAAAAACCTTGTTAACACTCTAGTGGTCACAATTTTGACTCAATTGTCATCAAACTTGGTCAGGAAACTTGTCTAGGTCATTGCTGGGAATAAATCGAACATGGGACATCTCGGATGAAAAACTAGGTCACAGGAGCTAAAAATAGAAAAATCTTGTTAACACTCTAGTGGCTACTGTTGTGATCCAAATATTCTGTTAATTGGTCTGAAAGTTTGTTTTGATGATTTCTAAGTCAAGATCGAACATGGGTCATCTTGGATGAAAAACTAGGACACACCGCCCAAATATGGAAAAACCTTGTTAACATTCTAGTGGTCACATTTTCGACTCCATTATCATCAAACTTGGTCAGAATGCTTGTCTAGGTAATTGCTTGGATGAGTTCGAAATCGCATGTGAAACTAGGTCACCGGAGCTAAAAAATAGAAAAATCTTGTTAACACTCTAGTTGCTACTGTTTTGATCCAAGTATCCTGGAAATTGGTCTGAAAGTTTGTTTTGATGATTTCTAGGTCAAGTTTGAATATGTGTCACCTGGGTAAAAAACTAGGTCGCACTGCTCAAATATGGATAATCCTTGTTAACACTGTAGTGGTCACATTTTTGACTCACCTGTCATGAGACTTGGTCAGAATGCTTGTCTAGGTAATTGTTTGGATGAGTTTGATAATTCAGGTGAGCGATCTAGGGCCATCATGGCCCTCTTGTTACAGCTTAGTAGGGGCGTCCGTGGCCGAGTGGTTAAGGTCGTTGACTTCAAACCACTTGCCCCTCACCTCTGTGGGTTCGAATGCGGACAGGGACTTTGGATTCTTTCATGTGAGGAAGCTATCCAGCTAGCTTACGGAACGTCGGTGGTTCTACTCAGGTACCGGTTCGTGCCTGAAATAATGCACAGAAGGGCACATGAGGTCTTCCTCCACCAGTAAAGCTGGAACGTCGTGATATGACCTATACTGTGTCGATGTGACGTAAAACCCAAAACAAAAAAAACAAAAAACAGCTTAGTAAAGGATGAGCCTATGTTTATGAATAAAATTTATATTTGATTTTTTTTGTGCACAGTTATTACATTATTAAAACTTTTTTCATTAAAGGCAATTTATGCAGCCAGTACAATGACCTTGAAAGGTGTACAAGATGGAAATGCTGTTTCTTATACTTTGACCTTCACCTTGTGTGAAGCAGACGGCATAAATGCATCAGCCCCAGTTCATCGCCTAGCAACCAAGGTACAAATCAAGCTTATACAAGACCAGGAAGTTGTGTCTGCTGCTCAAGGTTTATAACTATTCATTTCTTCTTTAAAACAATATTTGATACAAATTGATTAAAACTAGATACATGTACATTTTTACATCTTTAATTGAATTCTCCTTTCTTGAAACAATCAATAGATCATCACCAAACTTAAGTATGATTAATTAGAACGTCTGCTATACAGATTGCCAAAACAAATATGATAGGTTCTGTAAAGGGGGTAGTTGCATGAGCATTTTTTATCTGTAAAAGATTTCATAATGTCAACAAATAAAGAGATAAAGGGTCATCACTATCATGTCAAAAACGAGGTCATGAGGGAAATCAAACAAAGACATTGAAAATACTTGAGAGACAATATTTTTGGTTAAGTCCTCAACGATTGTTGCTCAGAAATGCTGCCTAGATGATTGCCAAGGAAAATGGGTATGACTTTGACAAATGAGTACTTTGTATTACAGCTCTTGTTTTCTCATTATTCGGTATCAACTGTACCATAAACCATAGTTTTGCAATTACTTAAATCTTTAAGATTTTTGTGTCAGTGTGACATTATGTATTACCCATATCTAATGGTGACATACTGTCTGAGACAAATTATTAGTATGACAAAATGAGCTGCGTCACGACAAAATCAACATAATGGGTTTGCGACCAGCATGGATCCAGACCAGCCTGCGCATCCGCACAGTCTGATCAAGATCCATGCTGTTCGCTATCAGTTTTTCTACTTGTTATAGGGTTTGTAAGCAAACAGCATCCTGATCAGACTGCGTGGATGCGCAGGCTGGTGTGGATCGATGCTTGACGCAAACACACTATGTTGGTTTTGTCATGACGCGGCTCAAATGTTCTTTTTCTTTCTTCTCACAGATGATTATCACGATAAGGAATGCAAGTCTCTAGAAGAATACAGGAAAAAGATAATTAGTTTGAGTTGCCAGGGTAACATTATATCCAAATATACATCATTTGTTGCCATTGATACGGAGGGTAAGAAAGTTGAAGGTACCGCAGTAAAAAAATCTTGCCCAGTACCTTCGTTATCAAGTGAATTTCTCAGAGGGATCCAAGAGGTATATTGAAATGCAAATTATGAAGCTTAGTTTCCTTAAAATAGAATTACCAAATTGCCAAACTTACTGTTAAGAAAGGATTACTGAACTATTTTTATAGTTGGTTGAGCTACAAATGTTCATGGGTTTGTTGCTAGAAACCTTTTGCACAAGTATATTGATAATTCCTATTTTTATTGATTTTCTGTTTGTTCATAACTTATGTTTTTCTCAACAAAGTGATAACTATTTATACAAAAGCAGCATTTTTTGTCATGTTAATTTTCATAATGCAAATTCTAATAATCAAGATGGTTTATTTTTCACATTACAGAGTTTAATGATAGGATGTTCTTTTCAAAGTTGTGGGCTATATGATGTTGCTGATGCGTCTGACTGTCTCGCATCAGCTTCACCCTATATGGTAAGCTTTAGAAGACAAATTTCAAAATGCTAGTTTTAAGCTGGAATGTCTCTTGGGAAATTTCAAATGATAGTGATGATATGAGTCAAGGTCAGTCAATTTGTCTCCATTTTCAGTTGTTTTTTAAAGATTTGCATGCAACATCAATCAAGGTTTTTACATGAAACTATAACATCACTTCAGAATCATAATTTGAGATCACTATCCAAGACTTATAATTCTAGCATTGATTTTGACTAATTATAGCCCTTTTCCTATAACCTGTGGTGTTTGCTGAGGTTCAATGTTAGGTCCCCCTCTTTTCCTTATATATGTTAATTATAAGTCTTATTGTCAAAAACAAGTTGCTCCTTAAGCTCACAGACGTTGACACATTTGTTTTGCCAATAATAGTCAAATTATCATAAAATAATCTCCCATTGATCATCAAGAACAAAATTACTTTATATATACTTGATAGTAATTTTGTTCTTGAAGACAAATGTGTCAAACACCTGTGTTTATACTGATGATTCTGCTGACCTGGTATCAGGTAAAAATGAAAAATATAAGAGAGATATTAACTTTGGATCTCTTTATAGTCAGCAAATGGGTTGTAAACGATAAATTCTTACTTCATTAAGGTTAGAGGAATCTATTCTTTTTAGCCCCCAAAGAAAGTTAAATTACCTGTAGGCAATCTATCCAGTCAAAATAGTCTGTTTAATACTTTTGAGTTACTATATAAAGGTTAATATATGGCAGAGTAGGGCGCAAAGTTGTTATTTGGCCTGTTAAATGAAACATAATCTTCAGTAGTGGGGCGGGAAATTGAGAAAATAGTGCAAATTGTGATACAAGCATGAAACTTTCAGGAAATCATCTTTAGACCATGTAGATTTCAAAAGTGAAGTGGGCCCAAAAATATCTCTGCTCATTCAAGATGGCCGCCATTTTCAAAATGGCCGCCATATAAATTTGAGTACATTCTAGCTCATTCATTCCAATTTTTTGTACAGACCTTTAACTCACACCAAAAGCATGCATATAATTTCTCCTTTTCAAAAATTTAAATCTCACAAAATTTCTCTTTCATACTTCTTCCAAATCCAATATGGCCGTCGATTTTGTGCAGAACTGTTATATCATTTTTATAGTATAATTTGTTGCACAAATAATGTTTATTATGATAAAAAAAAGTGTTTAAACATATCAGAGGTAATCAAATTATATGTTAATCTCAATAAAAGTAAACATTTTAAAAGTTTTTGTCTAAAAACATCTTTAAAAAAGATCAAGAAAAAATTCCATTTTTTTTTTCATATTTTTCAATTTGATTTTCTAAAGTAATGTACAAAGTTAAAAAAGTTACTTTATATCTTAAACTGTATTTGACATTCCATTAATATCATGTGTTTATTGTAAAGAATGTAAGAAAAGCATTAAATCTGTAGGTTTTATATTTTGGAAAGTGGGTGGGGTAATTTTATATGATAATTGTGAAAGAAAAAACAACAGAAAATCTACATAGCTAAGTTCATTCTATTTCTTTGCCTTTTTACTTTTCTATGAATTCTTATGCAAATGTTCCAACTTAAAAAGTACTTTTTATTTGATGAAAGTATTTTTGTCTTCCTTCGGGCCATTTGGTGGGTGAGGCAAGAAAATGCACATACAAACATGTGTATACATTCAGTTATTAAATTTGGTTGCATGATAATTCTTGTTTCAATATATTTGATATCATATATTAATTTTAATCGTAAAGACATATAAGAAGACAATAAATCAACTAAAACGTGCTTAAAATAGCAAACATGTATTGAATGTAAGGTATAAAGGTAGTCCATAAACGCATATTTTTGACTCCTCCACAATTTTATATTTATAATATAAACATTGCTTAAAAGCCAACAAAATGTATGTGATGTGAAACATATATATCAATGATATGGCCTGGCCTGCATGCAACTTTTTGAAAAGTTAAGATACAAACTAAGTGTACTAGTATTTCCTAAAGTAATCATATCTTTTTCTTTCAATAAGAGGGTAATGATGACCCTGGATCACTCACCTAAGATCATTGTTGGAAAAAAAGTAACAAGATCATTTTTGGGAGTGTCAATTATGTCATAACACACATGATTTGTGTCATAATTGAATCCGGTTGCTTTTAAAGAAAATATGCTCAATATCTGCTTTCAATTTTTTATTTCACACGAGAGAAACTTTAATAACTATATCTATATACGAGTCCATTATAAACTTAGTGACCTTTTGTTGTTTGGTAAATTTGGACCATGTTGTCCATGATATATCATTATTATAACATAATTATGATGATACATGATTTATGTATATGCGTCGGATAGTGTAGTTTTAAGAGAAAACATATTTATTACAGTAGTCTTTGTAAATTAAGTGATACCATTGCAAAACCATTTTAGACTGCAATAGCATCATACAAATTTATGCATGTTATATCAGTCTACATCCCAAATACCTTATTTCAAGTCAATGAAGTTTAACACTAGATGTTTTTAATGTGTTTTCCTATACAAGTCTGTGAACCCAGGTGGCTCTATGAGCATGATTCATTAAATGTGTTTATAAAGACCTAAGGTAGTGCTTCATGCCAGCTTAGTACCTGTGCTCTATGCATTTTGATTTTTGAGAAGATTTTTTTATTGCATGTACACTTAATGATACAAAAGTGTTTTATGTAACTTTTAAAGAGGTCTTCTTTACTTGGCAAGGTTATATTTTGACTATCTAAGCTCTAGGCATTACAGTTTGTTTGTTTGTTGATTTTTTTTTAATAACATCAACAACAAAACAACTTCAATGCGATTCCCTACACAAGTCTTTAAAAACTGTGTTCCTCGTGAGGGCCTTTAAATCATGTTCCTGCAGTCCAAAATGGCTTGCCCTGTCACTTAGTTTACATTGACTTATATATTAAAATTCTTCTCCGAAACTATGTGCACAGAGAAGAGAAAATATCGTATATCATAACATTGCGATGCTTTATATAGAGATTATGAACTATTGGCATAGGGTCAAAATCACTTAGTTTACATTGACTCTTATCGGAATATAGATATGAGTCTTCTTGTAGTTCTGAGAGTCTAGTTATTGGACATGATTGCTTTTAAATCCTATGACTGGTGGAATAAAAAAGATACTCCTTATATGATTTTAGCATTTTCAGTATAAAAGAATTATAGACCTTTTCCAGCAGTTGGGTCTTAGGCGCGTGATCTAGGGGTCAACAAATGCTCTCTTGTTTTATGGGAAAAATAAAGTAGGAATACATTTAGTTTATATTCCAAAGTATAAGCTATGTTTGTTATGTGGGTCAAGCGGTTTATTGATACCTATTTTAGCACACCTAGTCATTAGAGATAATATGAATGTATCAGTCGCCAAAATTTTGTTTCTTTTGAAAATATCATGTCTACATAAGTTATTAGAAATGGACGGTACTTATTCAATTATACTTGGTTACAATGATGTGCAAGTAAATATAACTTTGAATCATTCTGTACAAGCTTTTAGGCAAGACTAAATTGTGCAAGAAATAATTGATATTCATAAATAGACAACATTTCACTAAGGTCCAGACATGATTTTATCTAACATATGGTTCAGTTTGATGAATATTTCAGTCTTCTTTCTGTACCTAATTATCAAGTTATATTATGACTATTGAAAACAGACTTATATCATGCAAACACATTTAATAACTGATGTATATACATATGATTGTATCTGCATTTTATTGATATTTTAGTACAGCCCTCTAGACCTGAAGGAAAACAAAAATATACCTTAATACTATTACATAATAAAATACTTTTACAGTGAATATTGCATAAGAATTCTTAAAAAACGTTATTTTGTACTACAATTGTAGTGATAATTTAACCCCACCCAGCTTTTAATAAGTATAAACCTTCAAATTTTTGTTTGTTTATGTTACAATTTATACAATAAAATACATAGTGTTGATTGATATATCCAAAGTACACTTTAGAAAACTATGTAACTTTTGGAATTTTTGTACATAGACCTAGAAAACCCATGTTAAGAGAAAAATGAAAAAATGGCCACTTTTTTCTTTGATTTTTTAAAATATTTTTTCTGTACAAAAAACAAAAACGATGACTAACAATGTGGTTAACCTAAAAATTTATTTTTTCTACTATATTTCACAATTTATATGGAAATACTCATACCGTGTTAAGCCAAAAATTATACTACAAAAAAGAGATATATCAGTTTTCATTAAAATTGGCAGCCATATTGGACGCCATCTTGGATTCTGAAAAAATATGCAAGAGAAATTGCTTAAAGATTTAAATTTTTGAAAAGGGGAAACTATAAATTGGAATGAATGATCTATTATGTACATCAAATTTATATGGCGGCCATCTTGAAAATGCCGTTTCCATAGTTTAAATAGATTATCCAATGAAAAGTAACTTTACAAACATCAGTTTGATCACTAACTGTGATATGCTTTATAAACTAACTGACACTGTAACAAGTTATTATAACAAACTACTATGAATAATTGTGTCGACAACAATTAAAAAGATTTGTTCTGCAGTCTTAAATTAAGAATTATCTGATTTAATTTATTAATGAATATATTTTTTAGTGAGCTTAACCAAACAGATTAGATTATAGTGGTCTAGTGGTACTCAAGAGGAAACTAAGAAAAATCCAGTTTGTTTATGGAAATGTGGTCTCGTAAAGCCACTGTTCAACGTATTCCTTTCTCAAAAAAAGAAAAAGTAAAGGTGCAAGCTACGTGTGCTACTCTTGCTAGACCAGGTAGAATCGTTCCTTTTTATATGATAGATGAAAAAATGTAAGTAGAAAATTATTTGTAGAAAAAGTGTAGGTATGCTCAGTAGTAGAAATTGTATAGATTGAGAGTGAGGCTCCACTTTTGTATGCTTGTATCTAGTAATTGCCGTAATTAATATATTTTAACAGGCCATTCACATTCACGGTATCAATAACACTCTGATATATCATTAACAAGATTGTCCGGAACTTAGCATCGGTTCGTTCGTAATAACTGGGACAGACAAAATTGAGAGAAAATCTACACCTAGGCGCTAACATTTTCCACGTACTTTAACTGACATATCCTCTTTTTTGATATGTATGCACATTAATTAGGGGTAACACTCACCCATGAGTAGGCATGCTAGAAAATTTATTTTGTATAAATCACTGCTTGTGGAAATTTCCTGTCATAATGGTTTTTTTCTTGCTTTTTTTTTCTATAATATTCAAACTTTTTAAATAATTGATCACTTGAGTCTGTGTTAATGCTGTTTTCTTTAGCTAACAGAGATTGTAGCAGATGGTGAGTGTTATGCTAGCGTAGAATTAGGTAACGATAGTTGCAATGGCAATTCCCTATCTATTTGTTTCCACCATAAATGAACGTCTAAAGCTTTT